AACTAGTGGTTAGTGGTGTATAACTCGAGTCAAGGTAAGGGTCGTAAAGTATACAGTTTGAAATTCCACTAATGAAACAAAATACTAATCATTTTTAACAATAGACACCGCAAGAAGGTTAGACAGAGCCGTCTATCAATAATTTGTGCAAGTCACAACACTTCTTGGTTACCTTTTTGCAAGTCACAACACTTGCTGGTTACCTATCTGCAGGTCACAGCACTTGCGATACTTTTCAAATGTTAAGACTTTTCAAGTTCTAACATTTGCAGTATCTATTTTGGGCTTAATAAACCTTACAATTATTAAAACAATACAAATTAACATTAAAAACAAATAATACACATTAACATTAAGAAAAAATAAATTCTCCTGATACAACATCTGTGGCCAGTTGGAATTTTTTCATGCAATTATCACCAGCTTCAGAATCAGGTTCATCTTTTTTTCCAGTAAGGGATAATTAGATAAATTCTGTTATGCAATCTTTTTTTTACTTTTTCTACCATCGTATACTTAGATTATTCAATATCATACCATTCATGACATAGTTTTCTACTAACAATTCTGTCAGACATAACATCATCTAAATCATCCAGTTGCTTTGTACACAATTATTTATACAAATTCTTAATCTGGCTGAAAGTCATTAACTTATGTTTTTGTTATAATTTCCTTTTTTCTTTTTCATCCAACATTTGACGCATGTCTTTCTTTTATATAATACAGATCGAATTTGAGCATGTTGTAGGCGATTTCTTTCTTTACGTGCTGTGAAAATGGACCATTAATTACATTTTCTCTAATTAGTTAGTAATCTAAATTACCAATATAATAAATAGTCCTATTCTTTATTGATCTCATTTTGCAAGAATTATATAAAATTGTTGTATAAGGGGATCTTCCTTTAGACTCACTAAACATACCAGTTAACTCTTCACTATCTATATTGTGAAACCTTGCACTAGCTGTTTCCTGCTTGAGTGTCTCTGTAATGGAAAAGGAGAAGTACCTTTTACATTGTCTAATCAATACATCCTTTACTGCGTTAAGATAAGCTGAAGTCATGTTGATAACCTGGTCATCAATGCAGCATTAACTTCTTATTTGTTCAAAAACGTTTGACGAAGCATTTCCCCCAAAAAATCTGTTACTCTGCAAAACAGTGCAGCCGAATTAGATTTGCAAACCTTAACTGTTTCCAAAATGTTTTTTACAATCTGAATACCAGTGAGATGATCAAAATTTGCATCCTCAACTGATACATAAAACTTTGTCATCCACGGACCACATAGCAGTTTCCCAAATACACCAAACACACACACCACCACCAAGCACACACATTTTTTTTTAAAGCGATAGCATTACAAAATCTCGCACAGCTGCTTGCAAACTGCCACATTTTACTGTTCCAGTGATGAGAAAATTTAGAAAATCAGCATAGTGTTTAATAAATATATGGCAAGTATTAAAAAGAATATGAAGACGGTTTCCTCAATATCTAGGGATGATACACCTAGGTATTTTTATTGAGGCCTAAAAAAGTAAGAAATCCCTCTGGATCACTTTCACCTTCTTTAAACCTCATCCTATTTATAGCCAAAACAATTTTGACGGCTACATAATAATTGCCAAATAATTCACACTTTTCTGTCTCGAGACAATTGTATCAAGAGGGTGCAAATGAAAATTCAATTAATTCAGAGTTTTACCCCAAGTTGCACTAACTTTGCTTAATGTCAGATGGTTAACTGCAACTCTGTCTGATATTGTGTTGGTAATACTTTCAATATTCAATTGACAACATTCATCATAATTACGAAAATAAAAACCTTAATAAATAAAAGCTAGATGATCTACTGCCCAACAAATATGATATTTATAATCATCAGCTGTTCCTCCTGGGCATTAATCCAGAGCAATAACAAGACATTTATCTTTGGACGTAGGGTGAACACTATTTATATGAACATCTTCTTATGTTGTTGCATTAAATCCAAGAGTAAGCTGAGAATTACTAATAGCTCATTCAGCTGCTTGTAATTCTTATATACTTCCTAATTCACGAGCCATTTGCTCAACAGTACTGTGATGAGGTACGTTATTAATAACCACACTAAAATACTGTGTAATTTTCTCTAACAAAAATGGAATGTTACCTGTTGGCACATTTGACAACATGCTAAAATTATAATCTAATGTTTAAAGGATAACACTTTTCATTTTCAGACATAACAGGAATATATACACACACACACACACACATATAAATATGTATATATATAACTTTTTTTAATTAAATTTTTTTACAGATTAATATTGTTATCAGTTATATGTCAACTATCACATGGTATCAAGTTCATCAATTCCTAAGACAGCTCGGTTCGTGTATGTCTGGTGAAAAAGACAAACTTGGTGTTACAATTTCATTCTTTTCTTAATTTTATGCTCAAATTTGTAACTTTTTCTGTCAAGTTAAACTTTGTCTTTATGTAAAAGAGTTGATGAAAACTTTATTCAACCTAATTTCTAATTCCAACCCAAGAAAAAGACAAAATCTATAGTTAGTGATAGGCCAGTGAAATCATTTGAGGATTCATCAAATTAGATAAAGAGTCATAAAGTAGCAGCTATCGATTTATTCACTAGTTCTTCAAATAAACTTTTATATCCTAATAGTTGTAATCTTTTTAAACAGAGGAAAGTATGCAAAAATAGTTAGAATTTTATCTATAAAACCTACTGATTCATAACATGCTCATAATACTCTAAATAAAACCCTAGCACTCATATTAGATAATAATTTGGTCTAATTCAAATCCATCATCAACTTTATATTGCAGACCAATGAGATTCTTGGTTAAAATTATCAATTTATCAGTTAATTTAGATTGAAAGCATCTACATCTTCTTAATGTTGTTTAGTTTGTGGATGTAACCCAATAAAAGTAAATAATCTTAATGCAGCTAAAAATATGCTATTAGCAGAGATAGATCTCTTGGCCTTTCAATTCTCCATGCTTGGATTAAAAGCAAGTTTAGCTTAAAAATTTGTCAAAAAAGTCTTGGGTAACTTAGGTAACTAAGCAAAACGCACTGTTGCTATGGAATTTAGATATCCATAGGAACTAATTAAATAATGGTACCATTAAGTTCGTAGTATATACTTAACCTGGTAATTTAGTGGGGAAAGTTTGATGAATATTTTTAAAGTTATTACTTTCGTAAAACTAGTAATGATTTTCGCCCACTTTGTGTTGTTTCTAAAAAATAAAAATGTTAAATTATAATAAAACGTGCGAATTTAAAACAATCAGACTTTCATTGTTTGAATGACATCATTTAAAGTTAAGCTTGCGAAGATGGGTTGGAGAGCTGGGCTTACTTTGAAATTTATATCGAAAATATGCTTGTTTTGATTTTATTTATATTTTTTAAGAAAAGCATATTTGCCTTCTTTCAAAATCAACAAATCAGATTACTTATATTTCTGCCTATTCTGAGCCTGTATAGGGTTTCAAAATAGCAGCTGGGAATTAAACTTACAACTTTGCTGCTACAGGCTTTTTGGTAATCATCAACTTATCGCAGCGCAGTTGGGTAAACTGAGCTGCACTGGCTAAAAAATCAAATCAGATAATCATAACCAGTTACATATTGAGTGTGAAGAACCGTTGCAATGCTTTTAGCTTTTAGCATCGTCGGCCATTTTTTTAACGCAACTTATAAGTTTTAACAAATTTTTAAACAACAACAAAGTATTTGGTTGCATAAATGTAAAGTATTTTATAATTTGAAAAATCAATAGTTATAAAATTTTTTTTTTACAATATTCGACGTATGTTCGACGTATTCGACGTATGCTCCTACAGAGAATAAAATGGCGTTATTTAAAACATTTTATCGTTTGTTCAACGTTTTCAAACTTCATTTCAGCATAAAACTTTTCTTTGTCTTTAACCGAATATTTGTTAAAAAGTTTGAAAAAATATTTGTCGAATTCTGTGAAACTGGAGCTGATAAAAAAAATTACATAACAAAGCAAACTTAAAAAAAGATTATTACAATTAATTTGCTTTACATAAGATAAAAAAAAAGAGCAGCGCTAGGTTATTTTGGTGTTTAAAATTAGTAACATTTTTAGGCATGAAGCAAACTTGTTGTGTTTATGCTTATGTAAATGAAAATTTGAGAAAAATTGAGTGTAGTAAACACGAAAACTTTTGTTTTGCCACTTGCTATTTTTATAGTTTTCTGAAACTAAATTTATATTTATTAACAAATTTCAAATTTAATGTATTGTTTTTATCTGAAATTATGTAAAGTTTAAAATCAACTTCTCACATTCGAGATATTAAATGAAGTGAAAAATATCAATGAGTATAAATTTAATTAAGGATTGTAACGAAAAAAGTTAACTGATAACTTAAAATTAGGCCTACAGGTTAACATTTTTAATACTTTTTTATTACCAGACTCCAATTGAAAACCTATTGCCGCTCTTGTGAAAGTAACTGATATAGAATTAACCTTTAAAATTGTTGGAATGAAAATTATAGTTGACGTTCTCTAAATTTTCCCTCTTAGGAGCACTTGTGGGTTTTTTACTTAAAGTGTTGGGAAGATTATTTGGCAATCGCAATGTCAAAGGTTTATAACCAGATGTATTTAGAAAATTTTCTTCAAAAGGATGACCAGGATGAACATTTCGATCTAAATGTTAGATAGAATTACAAATATATTTAAAATCGTTTTTTTAGCTTAGTCAGCAAAGTTTAACAACCCACCCAAAAAATAATCTTTTAAAATGTGTGTGCGGTATTGATAAACCGCAAGTTTCCAAAATGTAGTGCATGAAAAATATACCGTAACAACTTATAATGTATAAGTTGTTTCGATATTTACCTATCGAAAATCTTTGTATACTCTAGAAATAAATTTATATATATTTTGAATGTAGTCAAGTACTTAACGTAGTGATACAATTTGTAACAACTTACAATCTCCGTGCGGGTTATGCATACGGTATGGAGCTTGTTGACTATGATTCTCATTTAAATCGTGGGTGTGCAGATGTTTTCCATATTGATCTGCATTTCCATTAACTTGAAACGGATATATTTGATCAAACTCGCCATCAAATATGTTCCCATATTGTGGTTCATTTTCATAGTCACCGTTGTCATATGGATGTTCTTTGTTTATATAATGATCGTTAGGATAGTTCTTATTTATTCCCAAACTTCCCTTGGGTGGTTGAAAATGTTTGATTATTGAGTCTAACATATATATATATATATATATATATATATATATATATATATATATATATATATATATATATATATATATATATATATATATATATATATATATATATATATATATATATATATATATATATATATATATATATATATATATATATATATATATATATATATATATATATATATATATATATATATATATATATATATATATATGTTAGGGGTATGATTAAAAAGCACATTTCATTTTTTCGGAAATAGCATAACGGCAAAAAATGAAGTTTTACTTGTATTAACTTAAAATAATAATGGTTTTTTCCAAATCAAAAAAAAACTCCCCCACCAGTGCAGATGAAAATTTGGTCCCAGCTGTCTAAAAATGCAAAAAATTCAAGTTTTTGCATTTATAGTAGGAACAGCGTCACTTAACAAAATTTCAAATATACCATGAGAGTTATTTTTGTAGCTTGATCTATCTACTTTTAAATTATGTTTTGTGTCCTGGTAAAAATGATGGGAAGAGTTGATCTTAACCATTTGCAATCATGTGTATATTTGAGAGGTTGGAGGAGGGGCTTTTTATTTTTATTTTCATGTACTTTAAATATAAAAGATTTTTGTAATTGTACTTTTTTCATTTTTTATTTAAAAAAAGACTGTTTTATGATTTTTATCTAAAATTTTTTATCAGTTGTTTTAAATTTTAAACAATGATAACTTACAACCATTAAGTTACTTCTCCGTCTACTTTTGTTTCTAAAAGTTTCAATGAGGTCTTGACAGAATTGTATATATATTTATATATATATATATATATATATATATACATAAATATATATATATATATATATATATATATATATATATATATATATATATATATATATATATATATATATATATATATATATATATATATAAATTATTCTGCATTGTAATGTACAACAAAATGACCAGTGACAAATTTTTTAAAAATCTTTTATAATCTGAAAATAAGTATACAATATATAGCGATATATGCACATAGCCGAAATAAGTTCCACTTTGATGAACTGGTTTTCAGTCACTCTGTCTAAAGTAATGTCATTTTTAATAAATCAAAAAAAAATCAGTTTTCAGGTCCAAAAATCTTAAACTGTTATATAACTTGCAGACTTTTCTGTTTAAGCTAATTCAATAGCTAATATATGTAATTATTATAATTTATGTAATTACTTTACAGATAATAAATAAAAATAGGATCAATATACTTTTTAAATTTTCTAAAGGGGTGGAGATACTATCTTATTATCTTCATTATTGCAAGTATCTAAACATTTCATTGTCTTCTCAAATTTTTTACTAACCAACCTTTGTTTGTTTCCTAATGGACTCTTATAACCTTTAAATTTTTTTCTTACTTCAATTTCTAATTTGAAAAATTATTTTCGCGCGACATTTTTTCAACATGCAATCCTTTCTGATCATTGAGAAAGTTTACATATTCTTGTCTATCGGGCGGACACGGAAAAATCCTGTCAACTTCAAATGTATTTATATAAATTAGAGTTTCAACTTAATTTTAAGTAGCTTGATGGGTTGTTTGGCAAGAGATCAAACTTTATAGCGGCTTGATGCCATCATTTTGTAGATTTTTTCATTTTTCACCTTATTAGTGGCATTAATCCACTTTTTTTGAAAGTCCTTTTTAGTATTTGTTACTCCACCTGTCTTACGAAGAACTCCTTTAACTATTGTCCTAAAATCTTCAATCTTGCGCTCTTCTGGACGATTTAGAGGATTCACATCTTTAGGAACAATTTTCACATTATTATCTTTTCGCCACTGTAGAACATTTTTAGAATAGTGAGAGGCAGCAAAATCAGGCCGAAAGAGACATTGGTATTTGTGTTTTTTCATAAAAGGCAAATGTCTTTTTTGGAGGCATTCTTTGATGTAGAGATTGGCAGTTAAGGTCTTCTTAGTGACAAAACAAGAGGACGGCATACCACAGCTACAAATTGCTTGCCACACAAAGAAATTGGATGCAAATTTTTTCTCGTCGAATATATTTAAATTGATTATCGACAGGTTTTCTTTGTTCTCATAGTAAATTGTTGACCTGGAAGTTGTGAAAAATCCGCCTTGCAATATGTTTCGTCGTCTTCAATTATGCACATATTTTTATCCGCCATTATTTTAACCAACTTCTTTGCGTGTTGAGTTCCTTTAATTTTACAATTTAAACTTCTCTTAAGTGCATTTTTTTATGAAATGCTTTAATTCCAGCATTTTTAAGTACTTTTTTGATATAAGAACGAGAAGTCTTGAATTTTCTTGTTAGATCTCGCTGTGACTGGTTTGGATTTCTTGCTATTGAACTTAAAATCGACTTTATCTTTTTGGATTTATGGAAAGTTTTTTTCTTCCACTTCCAAGTTTTCTTTCGAAGCTTTGAGTAGTCTTGAACTTGTTTATAATATCTATGACTGTAGATTTTGGGACATTTGGGCGTTTAGCAATCAGGCGATATGAAGTCGATTTTTCAAAAAAAATTCACAACTTTTTTACGCACCTCATTTTGTTTCCAAAACATTTTGCAAATTATTAATTTGTAAGCAAAAATTTATCAACACCATTTAAGATAAGGAAGTAACGTTTAAATTTAAAAAAAGTTTAAATATAAAGCATTTATGGTTTTAGAGAAATCTCAATTTAAAGTTGACCGGATTTTTCCGTGTCCACCCGATACTTTTTAAAACTTGTGTTTTATAATTCAAAATGATGAGTTTTTTTATTCTTCATCAAATAAATCTTCCACTTTTAAAACCACATTTTTGTCTTTATGGTTTGTGTTTGTTTAAATTCTTTCTATTCCTTTTTAAGTCAACATTCTTGTCTCTAAATGGCATATCAAAAGTAAAAGAATTCATTAAAAATATTGTAACTAAAAACATTTATATACTGATATTTTTTATCATATAAACATATTACTATATTAACTATAAACATCTGATATGTTAGTCAGTATTTTCTTCACCTAATAAAGGGCGCATTGTAAATTTTTTTACCATGAGACAATCTCCTATTTCAACACATTAAGCCGTAAAAAAATAGACATAAAGCTTTATTAATTTTTGAAATTTTTGGAAAATTAACACATAGGATAATCTTTGTAATACAGTTTTCAAAATAATGTAATGTGTTATATATAATATAAATTCCTTTTTCCAACATGAAAAACTTTAGAATGAGATATTTTATTTTAACAATTGCTTGTTGACATTTTTTTTGTTGAAAAAAATAATTTCAAAAAATAATTTTTTGACACCTCCCCCTCTCCTCTCCTCTTTTTCCACTCTCAACAACCCATTGAAACGTTTAGAAACAAAAGTAGACGGTAAAATCTTTAAAATCTAAAACTCATCTTTTTGTTTAAAATCTAAAATTCATCTTTTGCCGAAAAAATGAGTTTTGCTTTTTAATCATACCCCTAATCTATATATATATATATATATATATATATATATATATATATATATATATATATATATATATATATATATATATATATATATATATATATATATATATATATATATATATATATATATATATATATATATATATATATATATATATATATATATATATATATATATATATATATATATATATATATATATATATATATATATATATATATATATATATATATATATGTATATAATACAGACTTTCAAATTATTGTTAAGCAAAAAAATTTAACAGATTTTAATATTACCTACTGATTTATTTCCTATATTTTGAGAAATTCTACCCAGCCAATTAATTTTAACCGGACCAGTAGAACTTGTGATATTTAATGGTGGTGTTACCTGAGTATCATTTAAACGATTTAATTGGTTGATATTGTAAATATTTTTGTTCATTTTATTTGGATAAGAACTCGATGAACTTCCCGAAGAACTTCCTGATGATGACTTACTAGATGATGAAGATGAGGAGGAGGAAGAAGAAGAAGACGAAGAAGAAGACTTACTGCCAGTTCCAGATGATGTTTTATACGATGAAGAATACGGTTCATAAGGCATAGGATACAAAAGATCACTGACTGAAAAAAATCAGCTTTTATATATATATATATATATATATATATATATATATATATATATATATATATATATATATATATATATATATATATATATATATATATACATAAATATATATATATATATATTTATATAATTATATAAATATATATATATATAAATATATATATATATATATATATATATATATATATATATATATATATATACATAAATATATATATATATTTATATAATTATATAAATATATATATATATATATATATAAATATAAATATATATATATAAATATAAATATATATATATAAATATAAATATATATATATATATATATATATATATATATATATATATATATATATATATATATATATATATATATATATATATATATATATATATATAAATAACTAAACTATTGTAATTTGAAAATAATTACAATAAAACTAAATTTTATTGTAATTTGTATTACTATTAATGTATTTAGGATCAAACTTTAAATCATATCGTGTTTGATGATTATAATTATGTAGATGCGGAAGAAAAAGGTTAGATCTCTGCATCCGTAACAAACCTAAAAGGAAAAAAAAAGCAATCTTTAAACTTTAAAATGCGTATATTCAACTATAATTTAATTTAAACTACATATTCAATAAATCAAAAGTGTTTTGATTGTTTTATTGTCAAAAATATTTGCTATAATTTATTATATTGTCAAGAGTTACTTATATAATATTTAAACCTTGATAACAAAAATTTACTTTAAGAATATACATTATACAATACTAATAGGCAAAATAAACTTTTTTAAAACATCATTAACCTTTTTGTTAATGATGCAGAAACATTGTTACAAGGGTCACCGTTAAAACTCTGAGTTTGATTTGATCAACCTCATTCCCAAGGCTCATATGAGTTATCAACCGTCTTTTTGTGTAAACTATGACAAAACTTTAAATTTCCTAAAAACTAAGATGTTACAACTCACACACTAATGTAAAATAATAAAAAATAAAAAAAGGTGTGGCCTTGAAATGAGGTATCAGCTATATATGGTCTTAAATAATAAGGTACTACTTTTTAATTTAAATTTTACAAATCAGCAAAACATTATAAAATTTAAGTAAATGATATAACAAACATGTTTTTATATAAATAGTGAATTTTAATTTTATAACATGATAATCTTATGAACAAATAAGTCGTATTTATGATACCAGAAATACCCAAAATTTTTTGGCTGTAAAAAACAAGAAAGGTTTTGGTATGAGTTTTTGGGTTGATTTTTTAAACTTTTATGTATTTTTCAATTATTTCTTGTTATTTGTGTGATATAAGTATCACACAAATAACAAGATTTAGTTTTACGTTTTAGTTTACGTAGTATGTGATGTATAGGTTTCACTACTATATGCGTACACCCCCTTGTGACAATAATTTTAAAAACCCTACCTGACACATTATGTTTTATTCACTTGTTTGAAATTGGTATGCAACATTTGTTTAAAACAGACTTCCTTTACAAGTTAATCGTGTAATTTGAATAGTTTTTGACCCATCCGGTTTAAAAACTGAACTTGATGCATTTTGTATGGTTATGCTATTGTACGGTTTAAAAACTTATTGTATATTAAAAAATATAATTAATTGTTAATGAAAATTATGATTATTGCTTTTTAAAAAAATAGTTATTAATTATTTTTTATTAACAAAAAACAACTTTAACAACATGGTTTTTTGACATTATATCTTTAATATGTTTTGAAATTATATCAATTTACATATTCAAACAGTTTACTGTAAATTTACTCGGAGAATTTACTGCGCAAAAATAATTTTTTTTTTACAATAATGCAATAATTTGAATGGGATGCAATAATTTGAATGGGATAATATAAGTGAAATAGCTTTGTTATTATGACATAAAGTTGTAGCAGTTGATTTCCGAAAAAAAAAAATAAAAGAAATAATTTTATGCAAATCCAAGCTCTAATTCTATATTCCAATATCAAATACTTTTAAAAAATGCTCGTCTTTAGTTTTACTGTACTAGACTGTGTACATTGTGTACTACACTGTACACGCAGTGTACTAGGCTATACACACTGTGTACTAGACTGTAAACACTGTGTACTAGACTGTGAACACTGTGTACTCGACTGTGGACACTGTGTACTCGACTGCACACACTGTGTGCAAGACTGTACACACTGTGTACTAGACTGTACACAATGTGTACTAGACTGTACACAATGTGTCCTAGACTGCACTAACTGTATACTAGACTGTACACATTGTGTACTAGACTGTACATACTGTATATTAGACTGTATACTACACTGTATACTATACTGTACACACTGTATACTAGACTGTATATTATACTGTACACACTGTGTATTTGACTGTACACACTGTGTATTAGACTGTGCACTAGATCTTTAGCTGTATAGTAAGCTGAAATTTAACAGATTAAATAAAAATAAAAACAAAAAAGACTAAATAATTAATAAAAAAAAAAACTTTTTCTCTGACCTTTGTAAAACACTATTATGTCTAGTATATATTAAATTATAGTAATCAAGGCGCATTACGGTGGAATTAAATATTGTTCATAAATATAATTATTTACAGCAATTAGTGATACTTTTATACTTCTATAGATACTTCTATTAAGATTTTGTGGATGCTACATACGTCTGCTATTGTTATCTAGATTATCTTCGTCTGAGTCGCTATCTTCAAACTTTTGTTCCATAAGATTTTCGTTTTGAGCTCTTTCTGTCATTCCTCCTAGTCCGCGACCCATTAAACCAGCTAAACAAATTTGAATTACAGCGTTTATCATAAATAAAGAGGTATCTTTAAAATTTAAAAGAAAAGTGAAAAAATGAAACTTTTAGAGTTATAGATATAAAATAAGGAATTCTTAGAAAAAGATAAATAGGTTGCAGGTAAATTTAAACTTATTTTATTATTTGATTTTTTATTTTCTTTGCAATTTAAATTAAAATGATTTAAAATTAACATAAAACTTACATTCAAATTCCTGCTCACTTATTTTATAGGCTCCTAAAGAAAGTTCAATTGAATAAAAAACTGTAAATAAATCTTCCTCTCTAACTAATCGCCCCTCCCGCAGATAGAAACCAAAAACTTTTCATAACATTTTTCTATATTATAACACTGAAGTTTAAACTTTTGTACCAAATTTTTTTGCAAAATTTGCACAGTTATTTATGATAGCTAAAAATAGATACTATATAAAGTAATTTTTATTATTCATGAGAAAAAAAAAGTACGGTAATTGACTAGATTAACTTTATGTTTTTTACAACAAATTATAAAAAATACAAATGCTTTTTTTTTTTTAATATCCTAAGTGACCATAACGAAACATTGGGTGAACTTTTTTTTATTTTCGGGTATAAATTGTATAGGCGGAATTAGGAATCCGGATTAGGAATCTTTTATAAATTCAAGATGGCTTAACATTTTTGTCACAATGCACCACGGAAAAGCGTTTAGCAAGAAAGTTCATAGCGTCTTACCATGTTTCATATATGGCCAAAGCATGATAAAAAAAAATATTATAGTAATAAAAATTGGGTCAGGATAAATGTCTATGCAAACCTAAAAGGTGATAAAACATTACAGGAAATGCGCATATTTACATGTTTTACCTGATGATTATGATACGCATTAAACATAAAGTTGGATTAGTAGTAAACACTCTCACTTTATCACACAAGCATGCATTCACGCATGCATGCACGAACATGCATATTCATACACACATATAACTTATTTACATATAGTTTCACTTATAAGTGAAACTCTAAAATCAAAAAAAGAAACAAATACATCTTTTAGCACTAACAAATTGGTTAAATTTGAAAGGAAAAAATAGAAAAAAAGTTGGTTTAAAATTTTAACTCTTAAATATTATTGTAACTTCATAGTTTTGACTATAGCAAATAACTTTCAACGTCATTAGTTCTAAATACAATTTTAAACGTTATTCGTTTTAGGTTGTAAACTCAAGTCGTGTATTTAGGTCTAGGTTTTAAACTTGTTTAAAAACAATTTTCAATTAAAATAATCTTTAGAAAAGTTAACGTAACAATCATAAATATCAATTACCGTTTAGGTGAGAACGACCCGTTGCTTTTTCTTGGCGAAACAGTGCTAAACAACAAATGACAATAAAATTATACCTAAAGTTTATGCTCAGTTCCTGGTTAAAAGTATGATCTAAAATATTTTGCTTTAACAATTCTTAATAATTAATTTTATTTTTTGAAACTATTTGAAATTTCAAATTTGACTTAAGCATTATATGACGAAGAAAAAATGTCTACTACAGTCTGAAAAATGTCTGCTATAGTCTTGCAAAGTGTTTAATACAGTCTGAAAAATATTTAACAAACTTTTTTTTTTAAATAGTAACAATTCAAAGTGACATAGAAATGTTACTTGGATTTTCTGGTGTTAAATTTTTCCATGTGTGACCCCATGTTCTAGGTACTGATGATCGGCTAGCAGAATTTTGATCGAAAGTCATGGGTGAGAATGTCTGTGATTCCGCACCTAAATAAAGTTTTTAAAAAACAATTAGTTTCGCAAAAAAAAAAAAACACGAGTACACGCAACACGAGTACACGCAAAAAAAAAACACGAGTAAAGTGAAATATTTCGTTTTTTAACTAGCTTTATTAGTTTAACTGTATTTGCAAAATTTTCTAAAATTTTGAATTATTAAATAATTGACTTATCCTGAAAATAAAATTTAGCAAGAATGACAAACCATGAGTTTTCAGAGTATAATGTTTAGTACTTTATTTTCTAACGTAGGTATCATGTGCTCCACAAACTGTTTGGTCAAAATGGTGATATTTTTTATATTTTTAAATGTGTCATGTTTTTTATGGGATACCATGAAACTTTGACACAAGAAACTGTGCGACACCATGCAACTGTTTTGTAATGTTTTTGTGAAATTTCATAAAATCTTATCTTTATTTTAAAACTATATTTAAATTTATCTATATCTATATTATAAACTTTATTATCTATATTTACAGTATATATTATATTACTGTATACAAGCTTTCGTGTAAATTTAATTTTTTATCTTTTTAGTATACTTTTGTTAATATTTGAAGATAACCAGAACATAAATTGGTTTCTCTCAATTGTTTTTTTTTTTTTTTAATGTTTTTTTTTTTAATAAAAGTGATATCTAGGTTAACAGTTTCTTAAGAATATGATAAGCATATTGTATATTATATATGAACTTTTTAAACAAATATCAGATTCAAAATAATAATAATAAAAATAGTAGGGGAGATGGGGGCGCATTGATCGCCGTTGCAGTATTTTGAAAACTGCAAACAACCCGATCTAGATATAAAAACTTATTAATTACTAAACTAGAACAATCTGTCTTTAAGCAAAAATAAATGTTTTAATAAAAAACATTAATGAACATGGTATATTTTAACATTACAACAACCCTTGAAAAAGGTCAATGTACCCCATGCAATGAGGTACTATGATCTTCGATATGGGGCGCTTTGATCTTATATGAGTAACATTATTTACATGTTTAATACTGCTATACCTAAGTGCTACAAATGCATTAGTTGAAGGGTATTAGTGTATATTATATAATACATCTAAAAAAAAAGTAAAATTTAAAACGTTGTATAAAGTTTACATTAGAAGTATAACCACAATTCTATCTATGAAAATAAGCCCGTTATATACTACTAACATATATATATGTTAAGTTTTACAAAACTTGAAGCTTATAAAGTCTATAAGAATACAGTATTTTAAGTTTACAAAGAAAATACAAGATTCATACAAGACTTTTATTAGAACTAAAGTTTACAAGATTATTTTTTTATATTATCATCCTTTGTCAAAGTCAAGCCGTGATGCTGCTTTTACATTACATTGTTTTTTGTTTGTAAGCAAGTAGTTTTTAACTTTTCCCCTTTTTTTATCATTTGCGATGAGTTTCTTTTGTTGGTTGATTTGTTTTAGGGTTTTCTTTTCTTCTGACAAACGAATTTCATTTCTGATTGGAATATCAGTCAAAATCCTTGTTTTTAGTTGCCTAGTTTTAACACTTCTTTTTCTAGCAGATGCTTTCGGGTAAGGTTTCAAAACTTCAGGTGAGAGTAATGAAGCAATGCTTGGTGACACTTTGTTCGAAAAACTTGTTTCATGATGTACTACAGGCATTTCAGGCTCCATGCCATCAACATGTGCTACAGTCATTTCAGGTTCCACAAGAATTGTGTTTACTACATTTGGAGCAGCACGATCTGTAACTGATGATAGTAAATATTCATCATCTTTAAAAATTTCTGGATTAAATGGCTCAATGCCAGCTACTTGAAATCCTCTCTGTATATTAGATGGTGAGAAAGCTTTTGTATATGGTTCGCGAACTATTGAAATAATATCATAAATGGTCATAGGTCTTGGATTTGTGACCATCCAATTATCACACGCAGCATTGTAAAACCTTTTCAATGGTCCAAAAACAGTTCTGTCCAATGGTTGCAATTTATGGGTACAATGGGGAGGAAAACTTAGCATTGTAATTCCATGTTGAATTGCAAGATCCAAAGCTCTAACAGAAATATGACTTTTATGGCTGTCCAGAAGTAACAAAACTGGAGATTCCTGAGAACAGTTTGAATACCTCACAAAATGTTTTATCCATTCTATAAAAATGTCTGAATTCATCCAACCAGAAGGATTTGCAAATCCCACGCATCCAGGAGGACCTTTATCATGTAATCATGAAATTTGACCCTAGGAAAAACAAATAGTGGAGGAATAGAGTTTCCAATTGCATTTGAAGCACAACATACAGTTACTAATGTTCCTCGTTCTGCAGATGTGATTCTTCCTACTTGTTTACTTCCTTTACCTGCTAACACTTTTACTGGCTTTTGTACTGTTGTTAAACCAGTTTTATCAACATTATATATGCAATAAGGATCAAACTTATATCGATTTCTTACTGTTTTTAGATTTTGGAAAAATTCTCCAACAGTGTGTCGGTTAAAGGCATTTGATCGAGCAAAGCTAGTTGCATCAGGTGTTCGTAAAGACAACTCTGGTTGTCTTTTCATAAAACCTTGCAACCAATCAATCCCTGCAATTTTATTCTTGATCCATGATGAAGGGCAAATCTTATTATTTTTTACAGCAAACTCGTATGCCAATAATCGTGTTGACTTAGTTGAAAGTCCATAGTTTATTTTTGATGCGAGTAGTAAATAACTTGACAAACTTTTTTCATCTTCTGCAGTAAAAACTTGTTTATTGTTGTAATTAGGCTTAAAAGATTCATTTGGGTTGAGCTTCTTTTTATTACAATATCTTTTTAAGGTCATTCGATTTATGCTAAATTTGCGAGCTACAACATTCACCGGTCTGCCCTCTAAAACTTCATTAACAGCTGATTTCATTGTATCACATGATATAGCAACTCTGTCTGTTTTTTTTTTCTATACCTAACCATTTAAAGATCTGAAAATTTTAAAAAAAGTAAAATAAAATGATTGTTTAAAAAAAATATTTTATATAATAATATTATGTAAACTAATTGTAAAACTTATGTAAAACTAAAAACTAATGTTATTAATATAAGTTTTTAACACTATTACATTTTAAAAATGAAATTTTAAAAGTTTATATAAAGATTTTTTATTCGTCATAAGTTTAAATGTATAAAATTTAAACAAAAAATTAAAGTCTTATAATATAAGTTATATGGGGCACTTTGATCCTCCGATCAAATAGCTCCGCATAGTCAACGATCATTGTGCCCCATTAGGTACAGTTGATATATTGATGCCAATAACTTCTATAAATACAGTAACCAACTCAAAAAAACAAATTTATTATAAACTTAACACATATGAGTTTACAATAAATTGGTTGTAAAGTCATACGGAAATCTAATTAAAAATTTATTTGAATTTGTTTACAACTTTCAAAAATCACTTTTCATGATGAAAAATAGTCTTTTTAATTTTCTTAATGCTGAAGTTGATCTTATCAAAAATTATTACGATTAAGCAATGAAGGGTAGTATAATGGTTAATTAAATTGCAATCTCTGTTAAATTAAGGCAAAAGTAAACGAGTAAAAGCTCAAAGATCATACTGCCCCGGCGATCAATGCGCCCTCATGTCCCCTATTATTAAAAGACGTAACAGATTTAATAAAAGTGTTGGAATTTTGGTTTATCCGAACAATTCAGACTAAAAATGAAATTCGACAGAACTTAGAGAAGTGCTTCATAAAGACTCATACCAAAAAAAGATTTCTTATAGAAAAAGAAACAATAATTAATGTAGCTTATAATTGAGGAGTAGACTTGCAAAACCAGATAATTCACTTTAAAAAAAAAAAGACTTAGTAATGTTTTATTGTAGTACTATAACTCCTACAGCTTTACAAATAAAAATTAAATTTAAAAGCCACTATTTTAATAACATTTTACCTGCCTTAAATTATTCAGTCCGTGCAAAAGCAGTTAAAAAAAAATATATTGTCGATGCAAAACAAGACAAAAATTTTATCTAGTCAACATTCTGTTTTAAATACGTTTTAAAAAACTAGAGGACGTTATTTAAGAAAAAAACCACATACAAAAAAACTCACTAAAACTAAAAAAAGCCATATTTGAACAGTTACAATTGAAATTTAACTTTATCAATCTTATAAGCATATCAAGCATTATTTTTGATATAAATAATGCTTGATATGCTTAAAAAATAAGTAAAAATTACTTATTTTCTAATAAGGGGCGTTTTGCACAACTATATTGAATATTAGAATTGTCGCTAGTCAAGTTGACTTCATAAAGCTTTTTTGAAAACTAATTAGAAATAAATTTTTGATCAAAACCAGATGAAAAAAAATTAATTGGCATGCAAGTTGGCTCATAGCATTTATTTGGGAAGAAAAAAGTTATAAAATTTATTATTATTATTATTTTTTTTGAAACTTGTAATAATATTGAAAAAATCTGTTTTTTACAAAAAAATTAAAAAATTTTTAGATGTTTTTTTTTTAACGAATAAAAAGTGGACTACTCTTTTGGCTTATTATACCAACTATAAAAAGCCAAAAGAGTATGAATATAAGTTAAAATGTTACCTAAAATCATGTTCTTTATGACTGCATTTTAATATTTGCAAAAAAATTTGTTGTTAGGGCATCAGAGTTCAAGGAGTAAAAACAGACACAACTAGCCCTGGTCTTTCCTATTAACATTACTAAAAAAATCGTGTGAATTTTTAAACTATCATGTTGTTAATTGAAAAACTAGATTATAAACGTTATTTTCAAATTTTATGAATAAATAGGATGATAGTAAAAGGCATTAGACCAAAATTTTGTTGAATATAGCATACTTTTATTGGAATATAGCATGTTTGTAGTGGAATATAGTATATTTTTAATGGACTAAAGTATATTTTAAGTAGAGTATACTTTGTTTTTAGTGGAACATAACATATATTTAGTGCAGTATAGTATATTTTTTGGAAAAAAAATTATTTTGCGACTTTTCTTTTAAAGTAACTTAATATATAGGCAGTTTTATTTTTTTATTTATCATTTATTTGTCATTTAAAAAAAAATACAATGCCGTGTTATATAAATAAAATCTACCGGGACTAAAAGAAGACGGGGCTAAAAGAAGACAATATTTGCCTTATCACTACACCCCGTTTTTAAAATATTTTTTTTTTCATATTTATATTTGATCAAAAGTTTAAATTTTAATAATCAAAAATAAAAAAAATACCATTGAATTTTGCATATAAAAAGTTTTTTAAAAAGTTTATAAGATAAAATAAAAAAAAGATTTAGAAAGATTTTTCTTTATTCAATGTGCTGACTCGTGTCATCAAAAATCAAAAAAGTTTACACCATTTGTTTTTTTAGCTGATATTTGATTAAAACTAAATAACAGCTGAAGAAGATGCCGTAATAATAATTGACGTAAATCTCTGTGTATATGACTATAACAAAATCCATTATTTATCTAAATCATTTAAAGCGCTATTATATATTAAAAAATTATAAAAATAAGTCAAAAAACAACGCACAATTTGTACATTAGTAACAAACTGTGTAAATATGTGGTACTATCAAATATGGTAAAACTGAGTCTACTTGACAACCTAAGTTGTCAAGTAGACTCAGTAGTAGATATGGTAAAATTGAGTCTACTTGACAACTTAAGTTGTCAAGTAGACTCAGTAGTTTGATAGCACCACATATTTACACAGTTTGTTACTAATGTACAAATTGTACATTATCAAGTATCAAGTAGTTTGATAGCACCACATATTTACACAGTTTGTTACTAATGTACAAATTGGAAAAAACCTGGTTTTACAAATTTGTGGTTTTTTCCAATTATGTGTGTAAGTAAGTGGTTGTTACATTTCGTAAGTTTTTTGTAAGTGGTTGTAACATTTTGTAAGTTTTAACTGTTTTTGTAAGTTTTTTTTTTTTTATTGATTGCTACCTTTTCGTGTCTCAATTTGTTTTACAATAAAAGCGTCAAACTGGTCCACCATAATTTACAAAATAAAATTTTGTGAAACACAGAAGTTTATTTACATACTATGTAAATAAGCCCAATTTGATGCTTTTGAAACACTCTATATGGTTATTGCTTTACATGTTTGGATAAAATTTATAGAGTATTTTTCACATATTTCATATCAAAACGAATTTAAACAATAGAGAGTAAGAAAAATGGTCCAAAAAGTTTACGGCATAAAATTTTATCGAGCTATTAATGTTCAAAACGAAACTTTTTAGAGTTGATTTTCCTGCAGTTAGTGGAGCAGGAATTGGAACAAACAAAATCAACCAGAAATTTTTTCAGAAAAGCATTCTCTGACCCAAAAGAATTAATTATAACAAAGTGTAACATCAAAAGTGATTCAAAAATAGATACACTAATTAAAATAATTAAAAACACAGTAATATTTATTAAAATGCCGTCAACAGATCACAAAGTTCTTGTGAATTGCGGAGAAATAACGATCAACTTACCAGTTCTCTTGGGAGTTTTAGCAAAAGAAGCATCTGAATGAAGAAACAAATATTACAAGCAACATCGTGAACTACATGCTCAAAAGTATAATTTTAACATGCGAATTTCAAAGACGTTTTCAATCGTGCAATGAATCCTCCGAACCTCTTGTAACCTCTATTTCTTTGGAATCTAGATGAATGAAGAAAGTTTTGCTTACGCTTGTAGAAGTGTTTTTTAATTTTTAGAAAAAGTGGACAAAATTGTTTATTCAAAAATGAATTTGTGAACAATTTAGAAGTGGTTAAAAAGAAGGTTATTTAAAAGATGAAACATCAATACGCAAAACAAGCGTAATAATATTATTAAAAACTTTTAGACTTTTGTTAATAACTTTAAAACCTGTTTTAATGTTACTAACAAAGGTAAATTTCTTAACAATTAAAAACTTATTGCTTTCTGTGATAGTATTTTTCTTTGCGTTTTTGGTGTAATTTTTAAAAAGAAATTATTTTTAAATGTTTTTTGTAACTAAAGCAAGTTGGAATCCATAAGTTCTCTTTTAATTTACAAGTCCTCCCATCCCCCTTAGGTATTAATGTCCTGGTTCACAGTTTTTTGTTTAGGTCTGTGGGTTAGTGAGCTAAAACAAACGTAACCTGTTCAACAAAACAATTTCATTAATAAAAATTAGTAATAATGACATAACAGAACAGCTAACTCAATACATTTTCAAAAACAATTTTGAAAGTTTTTATGCTTAAAACTTGTACTTTTCTAAAATTAACTAAAAATCCTAAACGTTCTAAAACTTTGCGCCATTTAGGTGTTTAACCAAAAAGGATAATAAGTTGTTTCTGTAAATGATAAAAAAAAAATAAAAATTTTAAGCCATTCATTTTCATGATAGTACAACATTTAAATTGTCACACTGTCCTTTGAATGGTCAAATTGTCCTTTGAATGTTCACATAATCTTTTTATGCCCAATAATGGAAGTAATAGTTAGTTCTAGTGTTATCTTCGATAAATTACTTTAATAATTTTGTTCTTAACTAAAAGCGAATTTTGGTTGTATAAGAGTTGACTTTTGATAGAACCCAGGCTCTGCAAAATCTTTTATCAATTAACTATTTTTCTCCGTAAATTTAATATTTTCTATTGCAAGTAAAATTTCGTATTTTCTGAGCGAAGATTTGCTATTTGCTCATTTTGTAATAAAAAATTTTTTTTTAATTTTTTGTATTAGGTATTTTGAATGTTGTAAACTAATATTAAGAAAAGTTGTCTTAATTTATTGGATAAACTATATTTAACAAATGTTGGTATGTTAATTGTAATCTATTAGCGAATTTTGGTAGATTAATCTATCGCAATTAGCTTCTAAACTTTAAAAAAAATTATTAACTTCGTCACACACTGGATTAGATTACTGGTCGTATTTTTGATTCTGACATTAAACTTAAATTTTATATATAAATTTCAAGTTTCATTAAAATCTATTTTAGCGCCTAAAAGATACGATCTTATAAAGCATTTTTTTACATGTTTTACCGTTCAGAAAAAAAACTCAAAAAAGTTTGAATCAAATGCTTAATTGAAAACTAAATGTTAAAAAATACCTAGTTTATCTTTAAATGAAATTCGTGCTATCTTGTTTTTCTTTCCTTGAGCTTGATTTGCTGCTAAAATAAATTTTAAACGTTTTAGTAACGTTTCACTTACGTTTTATTAAAGACCTAATAGCATTTCATTTACGTAACAACTTAATTTAATCCTTTATATATTAATTATAGTTAAAATGGTAATAAAATAATAACGTAATAAAAAATTTTTGAATTTTTTCTATCCTATAATAAAATATTTATGGAATTTTTAGTTTCATATGTTAATTGCATTTTTTGCAAATATATTTAAACATTATAATACTGGTTTTTAGTTTCATATATTTAAACTGGTTTGGCTAAAAAGTAATGAGCAGTTTATCTAAAAATTCCTAGAAAGTTCTGGAAGCTTAGGGCCTATAAAGTCCGTTAAAATTTCTGAATTACAACTGTTGCCTGTTTTATGACTTTCAAATTTGTGAGATTATTTTAGATGGAAAGTGAGACTATTCTGGATTGCTTAAATGCACAATCAGATAAATATGACAAAAAAATGAAGATAAAGATATCTATCAAATGAAGAACATTCACTAACGTTATTTATCTATTAGTCTACTTGTCTATTAACATGGTCGTATCTTTTAGTGTTTAAAAGTTATAATGATGTCTACCCCAACCTACTGAGGTGGTTGTATATTTTTATATAGGATACAATGCATAGTACAAGTGCAGAGTTTACTTATGTTGGGTACAGAGCATCCATAGAATGAGTATAGTAATAGTAAAAATAAACTTAACATGTTGTATATAATAAGCTAAATAAGCTAATTGATATAATAAGCCTAATATTAGCTAATTGAGCTAACTAGTTATTCATGTAAATCTCAGAATTTAATTTTCAGTTTTAATTGTCATCTTCATCAAGTTTAGCATTCAAGATAGAAAGAATTCAATTAGGATTCTTCTTGATTTTTTTAATGCTCAACTATTGTCTGTGCGACACTACCTGCTTAATGACTGGGGTCACATACCACTTAAGCCATGTAAAATATGTTTATGGATATTACTTAGATTTAAAACTAAACATTTTTTCCACACATTTTCTTCAGATTTAGCGATCCAGTAAAGTAATCTACTTAAATAAATCAAGAATGGTTATGGTAGTTATATTTATTTAATTATACAATTTTATGAGGATTATGACATTGAAATTATTTGATGTCTATCTCATACTAATAAAATGAATCGTCATAAGAAATAAATTAATTAAATCTTGAACAATTGCTAACTAAAACAGTTACTAAAATTACCTCTTTCAGAATAAGATAATGGTAGAATAACACCCAGGGGCATTGAAAAGTGAGCTAAAAAGAGTAGAAAATAAGTAATACTTTGTTAAACAATTGGGAAAAGGTGTGTTCACTTTTCTTTTTAAAAAAAAAGGTGTGTTCACTTTTCTTTTTAAAAAAAAAGGTGTGTCCACTTTTCTTTTTAAAAAAAAGGTGTCTACTTTTCTTTTTATAATGACAATTACTTTTTAAGAATAAAAATTAATTTTAAACCAATGAGAAATTTATTCTAAATTTTTATTTTAAACCAATATATTATCAAGTATAACATCAAAAATACTATTATTTACATTTATTTCCAAAATAACTCCAATTTAAAAATATATAAATTTTAAAAAATACAGTCATTTTTATGTTTAATATAATCCAATTTTAAAACAACAGTTAGGGTTGTTTTGACGTTAAAATTTTATATCTGTGACAAACCTTTTAGATTTAAAATAATTGAAAAGTCTTAAAATAAGTTTTTTAATTCTTGCTCGGTCTTATTTTAAATTTTGTTTAAAGAAAACAAAGTATATTAGATTTTCTGGTCATTTTTAGCCGCAAATCTTTACAATAATAAATGTTTGATAATGCCTTGTAGTGTTATGTGATTGGTAGTCACAAGTTTAAGTTCTGCTAACAAAACTGATTGATAGAAGCTTCTGTTAAACCATGAACATGCTACAACAGGTAAAGTATCCACAAGGATGTTTTAAAAAGAAGCTTCATACACCCTATTTATTGAACATCTATTGAACATCTTAACTTGTGGTCAAATTAAGTTGGGTAACTAAACGTTTTAGCATAATTACAAATTTTAAACTAAGAAACAATTTGTGAGAAATGTTTAACATTTATCCATAGTGGTCCAGACAAAATTCACAAGATATTTTTAAAAACTCTATTATTGGATCAATATTATATCATATCAGATTCAGTCATTTAAATTTGTATAAACATCTAAACCGTTGAAAATAAATCTTATCATTATATTTGTTATTAAAAATGTTTTTTATTAAATGTTGACCAGACCTACATTATACTAGTAATAGAAATTAATAACAAAAAAAAATGTGTTCTATACAGATTGTATTTTATGAAAGAATTTTAGTTCATTGAAGACATACTTTTGATAAAGCTTTTCTTGAATGGGTTTTTCTCAATTTTTGATTCCTCATAATCTTCATCCACATCCAAACCTGTCAATTATTATAAGAAAAAGAAAATAAGAGACAAAAGAAAAAGTATATATGAAGTATGTATGACGTCATGTTTCAATCATGCGGTTGTAAGTTCTTATCATGCTTGTTGTATTTGAATTGTCATTTTAAAATTATATCCTGTCAGCGTCGGCGCTAGATATCAAAGCTCCCCATAAGCTTTTGCATTGGCCACATAAGAGACAATAACATAATACAATCTAATCAATTTTTTGTCATAACCTTAGGGCAGAAACTTATATACTAACGCCGGCTCTGTGCGATAATATGTAGGTTATTTTAAATTTTATCTAACTTGAAAGTTAACTTACTGCGTTTATTAGTTGGAAAACTTCTTTTATGCTTTTTTTCCCATTTTAAGTCTGGCGGCATTGGCACCTCTAAATTATATTAAAGCTGTTGAGACAATCAGTATGAATCTCTGGAGAATATATTTTTGTAAACACTTACCGTTTCTATTGCGGTAACTTCCCTGTTCCCATATTACGTTGCCATAGCGATCTGTCGTTTGTTCCAGTACTAAATTAAATTGAAAGTTTTCCTATCAACATAATAAAAAATTTGGAACCCAACTACGGTATATGTAATAAACGTTAACATAATAAACGTTAACGCAATAAACGTTAACGTAATAAACGATGTATTTTAATAATTTTTGAAAAGTAAATGTTTTTAAGATTGCTTATGTCAGCATTATTAAAATTTAAAGGGAAATTGTTATATAAATTATAACTATTTTCACCTTCTTTGCAAAACGTACCTGAGGCAACCAGTGGAAAAACAAAAAAAAAGACGAAAGGAATATGCCACATTTTGCACGTATAAAAAATTTCAACACATTTTTATGTTTCCAACTAAATATACAGCAAACGATAAGTGAATGAATAAGTGAATGAATAAAAATAAAACGCTTGAACGAATATTTTTATGCGCAATTTTAAAAATCTCAAAAAGTTAAAAATTTTATTAATTTGTCTCACTTTGTAACTCGAACATTTCTTAGAATATTGCTAAAAAATGAACTTGCATTTTTGAACTTAAATTTTAGTTCTTGATTTTTTTTTCTTAAACTGATTTTATTCAATATTTCCATCGGCGAAATACTTTCTTCATTTCTAGCATTTTTGTGACATTAAATGAAACACACTTTTTACCATTTTTTGAAATTAGTTCATAAAAATAACATCTAATCAAGATGTTATACCAAGATGTTACACCAAGATGTTACACCAAGATGTAACACCAAGATGTTACACTGAGATTTTACACCGATATGCTACATCAAGATGGTACACCAATGTTTAATATTGTTATTTAACTTTAAAGCCTAAACCACACATTCACGATATTTTCAAAATAACTTTCATTTACTGTAACATTGTTCTCAAAACATGCTCAATCACTTCTGAACTATCACAAGCATCAATCATTTCTGATTGATGCAGCTAAAACTATTTACGTATAAAAAAAGTTTAAATATACTGACCTATCAAATGTCTTCGTTATATTTAACTTAGTAAACCTACATTTAGAACATTTATTTGGTAAAGCAATGTTTGGAACAATTTTCAATGTTATAATGATGCCTAACACAAGTGTAAAGTTAGTAACAAGTTTTAGAAGGATTAAAATCAAGTTAAATATTTTATTTTGATTTCCAGGGCCTATTTTTTTATTATTTATTATATTATTTTGTTAGGCTTTGCAGAGTTATAGCTTTACAAACACAAATAAAAATCATTGTGATTTTTATTTTAAGTTGTAGTTTTTATATCATATTTATTATTCACAAATTTATCTATTTTAATTCTAAAGCAACTATTTTTTTGTAGGATTAAAGAGAAATTTTGTTAAACATTAAAATTTTTATAGTGATAGTATTTTCTTTATTTATCATAAAAACGGATAAGAAATCTTTTTAATTTTTTTAGCTCCAAGGTGTTTAATTAGCATCGTTTTGGTATATGTTAAACATTTTTGAGTGCTTGAGAACTTAAATTTTTATAAAATAAAAACTTATGTTCTCAAGCACTCAAATATATAAATTACATGTCTAAATATTTTTGCAAACATCTAATTCTTTATATCTACATCTAAAAGTTTATACCTAATATCAAACGATTGATATTATATACATCTATCAGCACATCAGAAGATTTTTATCTATATTTGAACAATTGTATCTATCAGTATCTAAAAATCCACCTTTAAATAACTATAATTACGTTATAAGTTTTTAAATACAAATAATTATATTATAATTCTTTTCAAAACTAATTGTGAAATTTAATTAAATTCTTTATATTTACTTTTGATAAATAAAAGAGTGTTCATTGCATTATTGTTGTTTATTATCATTACTAAGCGTTATTGAGCAATATTGATCGATGTTGAGCAATATTGATTGCATTAAAAGTGTCGGGTATAACAAAAAAAAATTCAATACTTTATTATCATTATCATTTTTTTAATTTCAAAAAGTATGAAATAAAAAAAAGAACTATGAAGTTCGTGGCGTTAGAATTTTACTAAATAAAAAAATAACGTAATATGACCAAAGTGACATTGAACCCAAGTTTAAAAAGTTGCTATCAAATTTGATATTTTGTTAAAGGTGTGAATTTTTTTTTTTGTAAAAATTACATAAAATTTACTATGAAAAAAGCAATAAAATAAATTTAACTTTTGCACCGAGCAGTTCTTAACTTAACTAATAATTAGTTAATTAGTTATAAACATTTGTTTATTCAGATGCATTATATTATCAATGAGCAAACTGCGTATAAGAGTACCAGTTAGGGGGCTGTGCAATGAATAAAACATTTGATGCACTGATACAATTACAGAGGTAAATTTTATGTTTGGTTTGTTCTGAAACACCTATAATTGTAAAACATTATATTTTTTATTTTTGAGTGAAACACAACTTTATGTACTCAAATGAAGTTGTGCAGTTTAATAACTTTTTTCACTATTCAGATTGATGGAGACAGTGTTTGAAGTGATAGACAGTTTTGACAACAACGGCAGTGTTTTGTTAATGGAAAATGTAGCTACATGCAATAGAATTGTTTCAAATGACCAGCTACATAGAAAAGTCACAAAATAAAGAACATAAAGATGAAATTTTATATCAAATTGTCCTACCAATAGATTTAAGACTATATTTTATTGAACCAACAAACAACTTTGATAAAGTTAACAGTATTTTTGAAAAAGATTACGTTAAACTTCTTTAAAGCAAACAATTCGAATCTATATAATAATGTTAAACTTAATAACAGTACTGGCCTTCCGTGTTTAATACAGAACTCTTGGCAGCAACTGCAACCAAGGTAATGGCGAGAAAGAATCACAGCACTTTTATTTAGTAAGAAAATTTGAACTAAAGTGTGTACAAATATCTAACTTATGTAAACTTCAAACTATATAATGTTAAAACATATATCAGGTTATAATAACATACTTCGTTTTAATACATGTTATAATACACTCGCGCCCACCTCATATGACCATGTATATATATATATATATATATATATATATATATATATATATATATATATATATATATATATATATATATATATATATATATATATATATATATATATATATATATATATATATATATATATATATATATATATATATATATTGTAATTAAATTAAAAATCTGTTTACTTCATTTAAGAAAAGAAAAGTTAAAAATATTTGTTTACAAATTTTATCCGCCATTTGTAAAAAGGGCAAAAAGCAGCTTCACTTTTTCGTAATGAAGTTAGACATCTAGTTATATTTATTATATATCATTGGTTAAAACACTTCAAAATTTTAAAAAGATTTAAACACGTGGTTTTTTCTTAAAATTAAAAACAAAATTCAAATGGTTTTTTAAATTAAAGTAGTTTTTATTATATTTAAATTATAATTTATTATTATTATTTTTTTTTTTTTACTTATTTATATTGTTTTTATTCAACTTATTTAAATTTTTTTTTATAAAAGTTACTAGCAATATATTTTTAATAGAGTTTTTTAATAATAATTTTAGTCATAAAATCCAACTTTGAACCAGTACGCAATAGCTTATCCTTTTTTTGATAGTTTGCTCACTAAACCATAAAAGATTTGCTATAGAATAACACCAGAAGCTTCGTATTCTACTAAAAATAGTTTTACACCTCAGATTCTAAAACCTTTTACCAAAAAAAATCTTTTTGCAAATTATAGATGTTTATGCCCGATGGATAACATTTAAATAATAACGTTATGTGCAATTAAAAGCACATAACAGCATCACGTTTCATTTTGTTTATTACAAATGTTATAACATTTGTAATAAACAAAATAAAACGTGATGCTGCGTTTTTATTAGGGAGACATACGGATATATTGAAGTTGGAGAAAGACAATAGTTTGTTTATAACGAGAATTAAAATCTCAATTACATGTCGAGGACCACTTTTGTGGAACTATATCCTGAATAAAGACATGAAAAACATAACATCAATTGTATTATTTAAAAGAAAAGTTAAAGATATTTATTAAATTTAAATAATAAAAACATTTTTTTGTATTTTTAAAAAACACTTTGATATTGATTTGTTAACACGTATATATGCATCTTATAACTTATTTATATTTTATAAAATATGTATAAAACTTGTAATATGTATAAAACTTGTAATATGTACAAAACTTGTAATATTTATAATACTTATATAACGTATATTTTAGAAACTTAATACGTAAAACTTTATTGATATTTTCACGAACAAAGGAGCAGGGTGATAAGACGCATTGTCTTCTACTTGCTCCTGTCAGAATATAAAGATTTATATTTTTACAAAAAACAATGTAAAATGATTGTTTATTGACGAAATATATACTACTACTACTACTACTACTACTACTACTACTACTACTACTACTACTACTACTACTACTACTACTACTACTACTACTACTACTACTACTACTACTACTACTACTACTACTACTACTACTACTAAAGCATTGAGAGAAAAAAATTGATTTACATTGAAGTAAATAATTTCAAAAAGGAATAAATAAATATAAGGTATGAAAAATCGAATGAATTGTAAAATTAAATAAAGTCGCATGTAAAAAAGTTCAAATTTTTAAAGGTGATCAACACACTAACTTTGGTGCAACATCGGAACAATAGCCTAATGATTCCAAGGTTGTTTTGATGTCCTAAAAAAATTTGAAAACTTTTTTACATGCGACTTTATTTAATTTTACAATTCATTCGATTTTTCATATCTTTTATAAATATAATAATAATGATTCAGCCGACCAATAGTTTATGTAATAAATTGTTGTTTGTTTCGTGATAAATTGTTGTTTGTTTCGTAATAAATTGTTGTTTGTTTCGTAATAAATTGTTGTTTGTTTCGTAATAAATTGTTGTTTGTTTAGAAATTGTCTGAAATGAAGTTGGATCTTTTTATATTTACGTATATTTTAATTAAATTTTATTTATGCGATATAGTTTTTTTAATTAGAGAAGGGGGAAGGGCATATAGAGAAACTTAAGAAACAAATGTTGCGCATAAACTAATCATAGTTAACACTAATTTTTATAAATTTCCTAAAATTCATTGGTTTAAGAAAACAAAAAAAAAAAATTACAAAAATAAGTTGCGGCAACCAAAGTAACGTAACTCTAGACTGGCAAAATTTTTACATTTTGCAAGTGGGTGGGGTAAAACGGGACAGTTTAAAAACAGCGGTTATTTGTTAATTGTAAATCTTTAAAAATGATAAAAAATGAAAGCTATCTATCTTTAAACATGTTCAGTCATTAAACTTTCAAAAAAGTAACACCCATATAAACTACACGCCCATACACCTATACATAGCAACAAAGAAATAACAACTAATATATATATATATATACATATATATATATATATATATATATATATATATATATATATATATATATATATATATATATATATATATATATATATATATATATATATATATATATATATATATATATATATATATATATATATTATGGATCATGGATCATGGATCAAATTAACCACACAAAAAATATGCTGTTGTTGACATTAAACACTGTTGATAATCCAAGTTAAGTTATAAAAATAACAATTTCTTTGAATTTATTACTAATATTGCTTTTCTTTTTTTAATGATATTTTAGATTAAAAATAAAATCATCAAACTGTAAACAGCATCACGAAATGGAAATATAGCCAGTTATTTAAACAACTTGCTGTGCCGATATGCCCCACAAAAGTCGTTTTGCTGAAACTAGTAGGGGAAAGTGGGGCAACATGGCGAACGTTTTGAAAGCCCCGAGTTGTTGCAAAACTATAAGTTGTGAAGCCATAATACTTTCTCAGTATGTTTATGTTATTAAATTCTTTCATTGCCTGCAAGAATTTTCAGTTTGCAAATATAGCAATTTGAAATAAATATTAAAATAAAATGTTCATAAATTTGTCATCTGGTCACGTGACCGGGGCAAGATGACTTATTATGCAATTTTTACCTCCAATTTTATAAAATTTTTAAACTACCAATAACTCTAACTAAAGTAACAAAATATAAACACAAATTGCAAAAAATTACTTCTAAAGAAGTTAAACTTGAAGGGCACCATCCATTATGAGAAACCGAAAGTGAGGAATTTTTTTTTAGGCGCTAAAAGTAAACTTATGTGTATAAAATTGCGTTAATAATATTTCAAAAAGCCAATTAGTGTTTTAAAATACAAGATGCAAATACAGTTTCGTATTCACCCAATTTTAAGATTTTTTGTTGAGTTGTTATATGAAAACCCATCTTGCCCCATTCGCCATGTTGCCCCGCTTTCCCCTACAATTCAAAAATTTCAAATTCAAATAATTTTTAAAACAAGATTGTAAAAAAGGATAAAAAATACTTTCTGAAAAATATAAACTTTTTATAAATAAAGCATATTAGCAATAGTTCAAGATTTTATGTCCCATAAGAAAATACGCAAATTTTGTTTTCCGCCAACTTACTGATGCATTTTGGAACTTTTAATGTATTTTGATATTTCTAAAATTAAATTTTTTTTACAATAATGAAGCACAAAAATTTAAAATACTTTATCAAAAAAAATTTCAAAAAATTAAATTTTTTAGCTTAGATATATAGCTTCAGGCATAACTGTCCCGTTATGCCCCACTGTCCCGATATGCCCCGCTCTACCCAAAAATTTGTTTTGTCTATTTTTTTTTTTTTTTTCTGCTCCTTATTTATTTTCTAAACTTTTGAAGAAAAAAATCTTTTTTTTTTTAGATAAATTACTTGAGAGCAAACTCTGTTTGATATGAAAAAAACAAACAAAAGCCATATAACAATTAAGATTTTAAACTGGTGTTTAAAGCAGCCGTGGCGCAGTGGTAGCGCACTTGCCTCAGAAACGTAAGATCTGTGGTTCAAACCCCACCTCTGGGCAAGTTTTGCGATATCGGTTAGGAAGGAGGCGTGAATAAATGCGTATTAAATAAAGGCGTATTAAATGCTCTTCCGCGTTGCTCTGTGATAAGACCGTAAGGACTTCTTGGGGCACCTTAATCAACTTAAAAGAAAAAAAAAAAAAAAAAAAATGTTGAATCAAAAAAGTATAATGGACAAATCCAGATTTTAAATAGACATTTGGGGGAGGGGTCTTTTTCCATTTATTTCTTTATTCCACGTGTAAAAACAATATAATATTGTATTAAGGTCATTAAAAACATTAATATAACACTGATTAATATAACCAAATAACTTTATATCGATCAATCAGTTTTTATAGATAAAGTAATAAATTCAAAAATGGATTACGTTATGATTAAGTTATATGCTGACCATAACCCTAACACGAGTTCTTAATGTTCATAATGTTATGAATTCAAGATTCAAACTTTTTTGACTGATTTTATAAGTCAAAAAATAATAACTATGTTTAAAATCAGCATTTTGAAATTATCAGATAAATTATAAAAGCACATTAAAAGACAAACAAATAAATGCGGTAGCGGAATTCTTATTTATGTATAGGAAACGATTGTGCATTGCGTTAGGAATGATTTAAGCCTTTCTGATAGAGATTAAGAAATTTTAATTATTGAAATCTTTACACAATGAATCTAAAAATGTATTACTAAGCTGCTGTTATCGACTTCCTGACGGTCTGAGCGAGAATCTGAGCACGTTTTTTGATCACCTGACGGTCTGAGCGTTTTTGAACAAAACGTTATCAAAATAGGGATTAAATAAAAAAATAAAAAATTTATTATTGACAGTCTAAACTTGAATTTTTTTAACTAGAAAAATGTAAAATTTTTATGATTTAATATTTGAAATAAATTCCAAAAATCGTTCAACTAGAATATCAACAAACTCAGCAACTCTCATTGATAGTATTATTACAACTAATGTCTTCAATAACAATATGCAAAAAGGTATATTGAGAGCTGATCATTTCCGAATATTTCTAACAATTAACTCAAATACGAAAATTAAGACCAAACCTACTAATAAAATAAGTTTACGCATATATAATACGAACAATATCAAGCTGTTTAAAAAACATTCATTGGAAGACCTATCTCTATTTTATCAACATTTTTAAAAGTTTTAGAAAAAATTATTTACAATCGATTTTATAATTATTTTAAGAAAAAACTTTTATATAAAATAAACAAGAAATTTTTATATAAAAATCGGTTTGGTTTTAAAAGAAATAGTTCTACTGAGCATGCAACCATCCAGTTTGTCCGTGAAATCTCTAACTATTTCAAAATTTTAGATTTCACACTAAGTGTTTTTTTAGATTTACTAAAAGCATTTGATACAGTAAATTATGGCATTTTGATTCATAAACTTAAATGTTATGGAATGAAGACGTAATTTTAAAATGTTTTAAATGTTAGTTAACAAACCAAAAATTTGTTTCTTTTAACGATCAAAAAAATGTTTTAGACATTTCATGTGGTGTTCCGCTGGAATCAACTGTGAGGCCACTTTCTTTTTAATCTACGTAATGATTTACATTAAGTCTTTAATCTTTTAAGTACTATGTTTGCGGTTGATACTAGTTTATCTTTATCTAATAACAATATTAATGAACTCTTTACTACTATGAATGAAGAACTCAAAAATATTTCTTGCTTGTTCGAATGTAATAAACTTACCCTAAATATTAACAAAACAAAATGGATTCGTTTTCATTTGATAACTAAAAAACGTTATTTACTCCCAGCTCTACCTGATATTTTTATTAACTAAGTTGAAATAAAAAGGGATTGCGTCACAAAATAATTTAGTTGTAGTCCTTGATTCCTTCCTTCCATCACATAGAAGCAACATATTAATTATTTTAGTACTAAAGTTTTCAAAATATTGGAATTCTTTACAAGCCCAGAATCTATCGATTAAAATGGGGTAGTTTCGCCACTTTAGAAATTTCGCCACAATTGGTGTATATCTACTTTTATAACTATAACTTTACTCAAGTATAAGATTTTTTATAATTCAAACTTATATTAAAAAAACAAACAAATTTCTTATTAATTATGTAAAAAAAAAAATTCTTTTTGTGAAAACCTGATAAGAAAGTTAATTGACAAAAATAATCTATAAAAAAACAGGTAATTTAAAATTCTTATAAAAATCAAATTATTTATTTCCATTCAAAATTTAAAAGATAAATATTGGAAATTTTTCAAAGAATCTTTGTATTGTTTTTTCTTTCTAATTTTGATCGATTCCAAAATTATTGCGGAAATACTAAATGGGTGAATTTCTCCACCTATTTATATTAAATAGAAATACGTTTTGAATGGATAGTTAATATTATTTCTTTTCTTCTTGTTTTGGTAATTAATTTTTCGGGTCATGTTGGTCTTATGCGTTTTTGATTAGATAATTTAATTAGTATGTCTAATTAAAATAATTTAGGAAAACAATTAATAAATAGAGTAAAAAAATAGTTAGTATGCGCTTTGATTGGATAATTAATATTATCTCCATCTTCTTGTTTGATAATTAATTTCTCAGATCGTGTTGGTCGTATAACTAATTCAAATTAATTAAATCGATCAATTATCAAGATCAAGAGAAAATCCGTCATCAATTATAGCAAAGAGCCAATGGAAAAAGCCATTGCAAAAGGTAAAGCTGGCGAACTGAGTTGTAAGCGAGCTGCAGATTTATACTATATACCTCAAAGGACACTAAGAGGAAGAATTCAATATCCAGAAATAATAGTTGGGGCTGTAAAATAAAAACAAATCTTAGTTATGTGACTGAAAAATCTTAGCTATGTGACTAAATAAAAAATAAAAAAAGTAAAAAAGGTGGGGAAGGGGGAAGGGGACACCCTTGATACTTCTTGGTATCGATGGCCATGACCCCACTTATTAAATGTTGTTAGATTTCTTTTATTTAACTGATTGTAAATGTGTTTTTAAGATTTATAATTTAAAATAAAAACTTGATGTTGTAAATGACATAGGTGGCAAAATTCTCCCCAAATTAGATTTTATTGGGGTAATTTCGCCACCTCATTTTTTGTGTTTTAATTATTATAAAAATAAAAAAAATTAAAATATGTAAAGTTTATAATAATTTTATTAACAATAAAAAAAAATTAGATTTTTATTTCTAGTTAAATTAAAAAAAAATTTATTTCTATTTATCTTACTCTATCTTACTCTAAAAAAGGTTTACCTCAACTTTATCTGCATTCATTCATAGCTATATGAATGAATGCAAGTATTGAATAGCTATATCAATGAATGAAAAAATTCCTAGCCAAATGAATGAATGCAAATATTGCTTGGGCAAGCACTGAAAAAAATTACAACCTCTCTATCGCCGTCAGAAGCATGCAATACGTGTAATTAATTTTGCTGATAGTTTTTCTCACTCTAAACAACTCTTTTCTGAAATGAGAATAACTTTTATTTACAAAATCAATATTTTAAATATTTTATGCTTCGTATATATATGTAAAAATAATCTTTCTTTTGCCGTTTTTAATGATCTATTTACCTTGAAACCTACCAATAAATACTCTCTAAGAAATGGCAACCTTCTTCTATATGAGCCCTTTTGCCGAATAAGTTTTAAACAAATTTGCCTTGATTATCGTTAACTTTAATTTTGATCTACCTACTTCTTTGCATCCTTCAAAAATTAAGTTGAATTTAAAATTAAAATGAAAATTTTTTTACTTTCCAATATTATCAATATTTATATTATGGAAATATTTATTAAACTTTATTAACTATACTACAAAGTGATATGTGTATGTTTATATTATTTTGAACTTATAGTTACTTAATAAGCTATTATTTTATTTACACTATTATAAGGTTCTGACGATAAGATCGAATTTCTTACAGATACCTAGTTTTTTAAATGTTAGTAGAATTTATTTTATAAATTGTATTACTCTCATTAAATTGTAAAAACTAACAAATGTAAACTAAAATGTTTTTTTTTTTAAAAAAAAAAAAAAAAATGGTCAGTTATTTGCATTGCTACCTGGTTTACTGTATCTTGTTTATTGACCTAATTGAGCTTGAGCTGAGTCTCTTATTGCCTGTTTTACTTGGGGAAAGAAAAGAGATAACCATGTGTAATTTAAATTAAAATTTTTTCGAACTAAAACTACGCATGCACATGTGATTATTTTTCCTATCCCTTTCCCCTAGATAAACGAACAAGTAGAAACTCCCCTTAAGCAAGCAAACCCAACTCATTTTAAATACGGAGGAAATAATTTAAATTACACTCCTTCGTGTTTGAATATTCTGGATTACATTTTTATCATAAATTTATGTTCCTTTTTTCATAATAGCTCAAAAATAGTTTAGCTTGTTAAATAAAACTTCAAATTTCTTAAACATTTTTAATTGGTTTTCAAAAAAAAAGTATTTTTTATTGTTTTTGGACAACATATTTTGAATATTGTTAAATTTTCATATATAATCTAAGTAAGAAACACGACAAAAAAACAATTTACATCAAATTACACGTATATAAAACTGAAGATATTAAATAAAGCCGAAACGGAAAAATAAATCAGATTGCGTAGAGACTTATTCAATCGACAATAAAAATCATAAGATGGATGTCATTTATGAGATAGGTGTCCTTATGGCGTAAATATTACAAAAACACAAGCAAATAAAAACGGCAATAAATGAAAAACATGGAACTAATAATGAAATACATTTAACTAATAAAAAAAAATTAGGAAATTTGTTTTCAGAAAGGTGAGAAATTTTACAATGTAAAAATGTCTTAGATCCACAAAGATACACGAAAATATACGTAAGGTATGTATGCATACAATAAACGAAGCTGCATGTGACAATATGAAATATATTATCAAGGAAATATATACACAATACCAGTTTTAGAACTCACTGGTCATGATAGAAAATAAATAATTTGATTCATTTATAAGGTCTATTTAATCATAATATTCCGTTCGTAAAATATTGAAAACTATCATAAAGTCGAGTTGTTAGTGACTGCACGCTGTCATTAACAAGTTTTAAAACGTGTCTAGATAACTGATCTTCTGTTAAGTTCATATGAAATCGATCTCGCATTGATTGAATAGTGGAAACTCCTTGCGCAAAGCATGGCAGATGCGAACCTAAGTTTAAAAAAAAATGTTAATAAAAAAACAAACTTACAACAGGTAAAACCATAGCAAATGTAATTACTTGTGCTCATTATTTCTGCAATTTGTAAAACACGATCCATATTTTTTCTGGCTGCAACAAACCCTTGCAATATAAGTATTTTAAAATAGTTGTACATATCGCTATCCGATCCACCCATGACCTATACAACCAAATTATTTTCTTTTTTATTAAGAAAATTTTTTTTTTATTAATTTAGCAATATATAAAAATTTTTTTGACGTGTTAATAAAAAAGATCACCTCTACAAACTCATCAGTCAGCTTGAAGGGCGAGCTTTCAAAACCCAGATTTTTCCCTGGTGAATTTGATAAAATAAAGCCAAAGTCAATGTGAATTATATGACCTTCGCTGTCAACTAAGATATTGTTATTATGTCTAAAGAAAAAAAATTTTTACTTTTTAAATTCTCTAAACATATTTTATTAAATATATACTCTTTACGGTCTCTAAACATATTTTATTAAAAATACTCTTTACGGTCCGCTAATTTAATAATAAAAAAATACTGATTAACAATAGCAATTTAAAATCAAATAACTAAAAAAAATCAAAATAAATTTTATTAACCCTTTTTTACCCCTAACCTTTATTATTGTCATTGTTTTTCTGTCAATTATCTTTCCGTCAATGTTCTAGTCAATTGTAAATTTTTCCGTCAATGATCTAGTCTTCCGTTAATTAAAACTACTTAAAATACTAATTAAATTAAAGTACTAATTAAAAAAAAAACTAGTTAAAATTAAAACATACGAACTTGAATTGCATAATATGAAACTAGTTAATTGAAAAAATGATTAAATTTTATGTATTAATTGAACGCTTTAAAGCTTTACCTGTCTTTCACTTGCATTATATATGAAACCAAGCAATATCCAGCGCAACTTTCAACAAATTTACGTTGTGCAGTAAGAAATTCTTCTGTTGTTGGCTCACCAAATTCCTTGAAAAAAAATTTTTTTCATTAAATAGATTACTCTTTAATTAATGCGTCTCTTTATATTATATTAAAATATAATTACTATTGATATAAAATAACTATTTACTAAAATAATTCATTTAATATCAATAAAAAAGAAAAACTAAATGATTTTTTTAACTAAATTTTATTTTTATTTTTTATCATCAGCTGAATGTCTATAATAAATATGATAATAAATATGTCTATAATAAAATATAATAAAAAATATTACGTTTTTGAACATATGTATTATTTTTTATTCTATTTTATTATAGACATATTTCTTATCATATTTATTTTAGACATTCAGCTATTAATAAAAAATAAAAATAAAACTTAATTAAAAAAATCATTTAATTGTTCTTTTTTACTATTTTTATTATTTAAACTAAAATTTTCTAGCATTATTACATAGTTTTATTATTCTTCTGTTTTAGAAACTTTTTGAAACACTTAGACACTTAAATGAAATTTGAAAAAAATCCAGTCAAAACATCATCACATTACTTTATGCTATTTTTTTATGAATGGAAATTAAAATCCTGTAAAAAACTCTGTTTCATGGATAAAAAAAATGAAATAGTAAATAACGGGTAATGCATACGTTATCAGACAAATTTTAATTTTCTTTGCTAATTAAACAATCACGTGGTTTGATGTATATGCAAATATATAAATGTTTATTTTATTATTTAAAACAAATTTATTAAAAATTAGGTTAAATGCAGAACAAAAATTATTTCAAAAATACCTCAAAATGTTTTTTGGTAAAATACCATAATATAAAAAAAGTGAAATCGTAAATCATTTCGAAAAGAAAAAACAGCACAGAATACAACCAATATACTATAATTAATAAGAAATATATATTTTATGACATTACGTATTAATTATATACTATAATTAATACGAAACATAATTTATCACATATCCTAGAAAAGAAAGTCTAAAAAGGTCAACAACCAAAAAGCAGTCAGTAAAAATTTGGTTTTAAATTAAAGGTAAATCAATTGAAAATTAGTCAGTAATTTAAAAAAATGAATATTCAATTCAGATAGCATGGAAAGACTCCAAATAAACCATTAAACAACAAATAAAAGAAAAAGAAAAGATACAAAAAACTTATTCAATTCTATAACACGAAATCATTTTTGGTCATTTTTGAGGAGAAATACTTTGGTTTTACAACTGGATACTACACAGAAATCAAAGAAATATGCTGAGAAAGTGTTCGCTTTTGTGGTATTAATATGAATTGCAGTTCTAACTGTTGTATATATGTAGCAATCAATAAATCAATCCGTTTCATTCACATGATACTTGTGAATTCATTCACAAGTATCATGTGAATTTTTACTATTTATTTTGGCTAGATTGAGCAAATTCTTATTACTTTGAAAATTTTCTAAATTTGATGGACGAACAATTATGTTGATAAGGAATCCAACCCGCCAAATGTATCTCAAGCATGACAAATTGAGAACTTTTGAGGGCATTTGGCTTAAAATATTTAAGAGGGATGTCGGCTAGAAGAAATGTCACCAGAAAAAATCTTGATTGATCGCATCAAATTAAAACTAAAAGAAATTGATTTAAATTTGTTACAGTTGAATATGAAAGGTGTCAAAGCAAAATTGAGATCTATTGGAGATAATGGAGATAACGATTGCAGATGATGGAGATAACAATTTCATATACTGGAGATTAAACATTTCAGTAAATAACTGAAATAGCAAATAAGTTTGCACACTAAAAAATATAAATAAATTACTAAAACTAAAAATTATAAACTAAAAACATAAATAAATTACTAAAATAGCAAAATGAAAATTAACCCACAAAAATAAAGTTTATTAAAATAAAAGTTTGGTTAAACTAATGTTTTTTACACAGCACAAAACCTTTATTTTGATGTAAATCTTATAAAGCAGTTCAATATTGTCATTTCAAAAATACCAATTATTAGTTAATTTTAAAAAATGTGCAAAAAAGCAATCAACTAGTAAATGTTACTAACATTAATAAAATAATCAAGTAAAGACATTTTGCTTTGTTTTTTGATTTGGTGCAGTGAGACAGCATTGACAATAGGTTCAATTAAACCACCATCACCAGAAGTTGCCATGACAGCATACCTTGAAAAAATTACACACTACATTTTACCAATTTATAAATTAAAAACTAAATAAAAGTTATAACTTGTCTTTATAATTAAAAAAAAATTTATATTATTACAATTGAAATGAACAAATTATATTTCAAAGAGAAAATTATAGAAGATAGGGTACTATACTATTAATTGAAAGGCAAAAATAATATTAAAAGAAAGAGTAAACAAATCATAATTTTGCAATCTAATGGGACACAATTTCTGTTTCAAAATATAGGCATTTGTTTTTGCTTTTAAATAACTTCAAAATAATTTAGGTCTAGAGGAATAGGCCAATGCAATAAGCAGAAAGATTGATCAGAGAAATAAAGAAAAAAAAAATAAAACTTATTCATGAACTTTAATATTTATATTTTATCTGGAGATCCACTCAAGAGAACTTTATACCATTAAAATTATTTAAATTTCAATCTAGAGAATGCTACCATGTTGAATTCCACACTAAAAAACTTTATGAGTGAGTCCTTATATGCCAAAGTTTTTAAATAATTTCAATCTAGAGAATGCTACCATGTTGAAATAATATAAATTCCACACTAAAAAACTTTATATTGTTAAAATAATTTTAACTCTACTCAAGCTAAATTAAATGTTAAATTCTAATGCTTAATTTAGCTTGTTGAAATCCAATATTGCACATATTAAAAAACACTTTTTGAAATTTTAAGCTTATCAGCTCAATGTCGATAGACAACTGTGTACACCATTCTGGGAGAACAAAGATTAGATTTTTTTCCAAAACTGCTGCACTTTCTTTCTCATTCGTATCCTGTCGTAAATATTCCTAATGTTCTTCATCTTGTTAAGCTTTACCTAAAAAAATTTCATCACCTGATTTTCATTTAAAAGTGTGATTGTCCCTATTGTTTTTAAGTAACTTATCAAATGCAGCATATGAACCACATGACATGAAAATATCATATGAACCACATGAAATAAAAATTAATTTGATCAAAATAATTCCTGAAAAAACCCTGATTACAATTTATGTAATTTTTTTTTTTTTTTTTTTTTTTGCTGTTATGGACCTTTCTCTGACACATAATTTAATATATACAGTTAACTAATATACTGTGGGTATACTGGCAAAAAACATTAACTCCAAAATCCCTGGTTGAAGAATATGCCAACGTCAAAAAAATTATTTTCTTAAATAAAACTTTTTTAAAAAAAAATTTATAGCTATAATTTTTTTTAATTCAAAAGCTTTTAGCCTGAATAAAATATCTGTTTTATGAGTTAACGTTAATTATATTTTTATAACCAGAGAAAAGATGTTTTATTGAACTTGTATTTTGCCAGTTTGTAGAGCATTGTAAAAATTATTATACTGCATTATTACATCAAAAGTTTTTTGACATAACATCTTTAGCCAGTTTTTTTTGACATAACATCTTTAGCCAGTTTTTTTTGACATAACATCTTTAGCCAATTTTTTTTTGACATAACATCTTTAGCCAGTTTTTTACCCACATTATAATATTATAATTACTTTATTATGAATTCTAAATTTTGTAACTTAATTAATTTTAAATTTCATTAAATTTTGATGTAAACATTTAAAACAAATAAAAGGTGACAAATAAAGATATAGAATTTATTATATAGAATTTATTGTCAATTAAAACTTATATAAATAAAAATATATAGAATTTATTATCAATTAAAATTTTTTAGGTTTAAAAAAAATCAAAGATTCCTTTTATGAAAAAACTTTTAGCATTTCAATTTATTTTAAGCAAATTTAAAATACTAATAAATCTTTTTTTTAATTTGTTAACTTTAACATTTTAATTAAAAACTTGATAATAAACTCTTTATGATATAAAAAAAAAACATATAAAAGTATATAAGTTTTTTTAAAAACATACGGTCGAATCCACAATGGAACTTTTTCTAAAGCAAATATTATCTAAAAAAACATAATACATAATTGAATTAGAAAAAAGTGTGTGAGAGAGAGAGAGAGTATGCCAGTGCCGTACACAGCGATGCCATACCCCTAGAGTATGGAATTATGTCTGGGTACGGCACTGTTTATATATGTATGTATGCTTGTTTATTTATATATCAACCATCAAAATTAGGACAAATGAGGTCGGTAATAATTTGCCGACCTCAATCTTTTTGAGCTCGGCATCAGGTTGACAGAAACTATTTGATACATAACTATTTGAGGTCTAACTATAAAACACTTTCAGGTTGGCAGTTAGGTCAGCATTGCTGAATGCCGACCCTAATTCCGAGGGTTGATATATATATATATATATTATATATATATATATATATATATATATATATATATATATATATATATATATATATATATATATATATATATATTAATATACCATTAAATCACCTTAATTCTGTCACTTAAGCTTTAAACATTTATTTATCACGCATAAATAAAATATTTTCAATTTTTCCTGAAAAGTACAGAAAATTATATTGATAATTGATATTGTAAAAATAAAAAAATGAAAAATTGAAACTAGTACTAGTATTTAATTTAACCAACTTTCAATATCATCTCATAAGTTCGGCCACTATACAAATACTAATATCATATCACAAACATAACGCCACAAATAATGAAAACTATTTTTTAAATGTTGTTTTATTATAAAACAATGATATAAATTCGCAGTAATACTGGTAAATAAGTAGAGCGTCACCACAGGCTCAAAAAAAGTCTTTTGGAGCGTCAAAGAAAAGAAGAAGCAGCACATAAAAAAGGTCTTTTTAAATATAAGTAGTACTATTTTTGTTTTTTATTGTAATTAGTCAACTATTTTATTACTTTGGCCATTATCAAATTTGCTACGCCACTGGTTAATAAAGTTAAAAATATATATTTTTAAAAAGGTTTTTTCAATTAACAAAAAAACACTACTTTGCTTTATATGAGCTTTTTATGTTTCTTGCACATGTTGCAATGCATCCATAATTGTTGTTTAGCTGTAATTTAATCTCCAAAAAAATGTCATAAGCGTGATATTTTTTTGGAGATAAACTCAAAGAACTGTCTATTAATTTTTAACATATGAACAAACTTTTTATTCAAGTAAAATACCATGGTGTGTATCCATTATAAAAATGTCAAAATTTACTGGTATATTTACAGGTAAAGTTACCGGTAAACTTTACATTCACAACACTTATTAACATTTCACAATATTACTGCTAATTGTCTCCTTCGTTGTTTATCTATGAATGATCGAAGTTAGAGTATTTCAAAATTTCACTAACTTTTATAAAAAAATTAGTTCATTTTTAAAAATTAATAATTTTATTTTTGTAATTATAATTAATTTGGTGATTCTTAATAACAGTAAAATTTAAATTTGATCATTAATTTTAATAATTTGCTTATTTTAGATTTTAATGGTATGTATTTTTCAAAATTGTTGTTTTGCTAAAGAATTATTTCAGCAGATTGCATATAAATACTTTTTTTTTAATAAACTCATATTTACGAACTAATTACAAATATTATTTGAGAAAAATGTGAGTTTTGCATTTTATTATTTAAAATGTGAGTTTTGCATGCTTTTTTAATTACTTTTTCCTAAATGACCTAAGTTACATGGTGATCGAACTTAGGCGATTTTTGTGATTTTACGATATATATATATATATATATATATATATATATATATATAGCTATTATTTTTGCTTACTTGAAACTGTGTTAATAACTGATAGGCTAAACATTCTTGACGCAAATCATCACCGGTTTTAACAATGACTGGTATAAGTCTCCAGTTAGGTAGATGACCATATGAAGAAGTCTGTCGTATTCGATTAACCTTTTCAAGCCAAGGCTCTTTTAAAGCAGCAGCTATACAAAGATTTTTAAAAACATTTAGCATTTTATCTTAAAATATTTAAAATTATTATTTAGTTTACAAGATTTTAAAGAACTTACAGAAAGGTACTTACTAGAATGTAAGGTTTTAAGGTGTTTACTATTAGGTAAGATTTTTAAAGTACTTAATATAACGAAATATTTTTAAGGTGCTAAGATAAAGTTTTTGAATTATTTACAAAAAATAAGACAATTAAGATGCTTACTATAAGGACTATTTTTAATAAAGCTTACCAGAAGGGTCATCAGGATCGCGAACCATAAAAAGAGCTTTTGGAGCACTTAGTGATTCAGTGAGGCGTTTTCTAACATCGATTGCGGAAATATAAATATCCTAAAAAAAAATATTGTGTTGCAAACATTCAACTGATTCAATATTTTTTAATGTCTATTAACATTCCAAATTAATAACTATTAATAAATATTTATCAAAAATTTATTTGCTACTGAATTAATAGTTGATAAAAAAAATCTTATTTCTGAACATTAAACAACATATAATGAATATATATTCTATATGTATAAGATATAAAGTAATTTGTAATCTATATGTATAAGGTATAAGGTAGTTTGTATTATATACGCATAAGACATAAAGTAATTTGTATTCTATGTGTATATATAGTATAAGGCATGGCCCCCACAAGGTGGGTGGAAGGGAGGGGAATGGCGGTACTGTAACACTGGAGCCTGGTAACCGGAAAAATAGTAAATCCAAGTAAAATATTGTTTTGAATTAAAAATAAATGTTAAAAGAAAAGAAAAACTTTTGAACCAAAAACATTGTCTAAAATTAAAAAGTTGAAAACAAACAGACATTTCAACAATTCAGGTAACCTTCTTGTTTTTTTACTTATTTCATATATATTGCCGTTTTTTTACGCTAAATTTCTTTGAACGATTTTAAACTCATCTTCATTATGTAATATAAGTTATTAGTCCAAAACGTTAACAAGTAGCCTAACACTTATATTTGCACTTTAGAGCACTATGGTCTTTAAACTAATATGCGAACCGTTGTGTTAACTAATTTCTACATTTTTCTCATTAAATAGTTTTTTCTTCGTTAATGGATTGGTTGCCATAATTTGGTTCATAATCTTTCAGGTTAATCATTTTACATTAGTTGAACTTTGTTATCAAATCAATAAACTGAAAAAGGAAAATAGTTTCTGAAATTCTTTGAGTTCAGACATTCTGATGTTCCAAAGCTAAACTTGTGCTTCTTTAAAAAATACATTTGTTGCTCAGGATTTAAATGATGTCTCGAAAGGAAAATTATTTTTTTAGACTGTCAAGTTATTCAACCACCATGTCAAACTCAAATTACAAACATAAATCTGGAGCTCAAAAGAAAAAACTTTAAAATAAGATTAGATCAAAAGAATCTCTTGATAGTCAATCAATACCCAAATTTTTCCGATATAGAAATATTTTTATAGATCCTAATTTTTGGTTTTTAGTTCTAATGGAATAAACAGGCCAAGTGCATTAAAAATAGCTTATGGTACACTGTCAATATAACTTCTTTTTTAAAATAACATTTTTAAACAATCTGTTGATAAAAAACTTTTGACAAATACAAATTTAGTACCTATTAGAAAACTGTCTTGTTTGGTTGAATGTAATCAGGTCAATTGTAATTGTTTTAATTACAGGAGTTAATTAATAACTTCCTTATTATTTCTGTCAAAAAAAAAATATTTTCAAAAAAATATTTTGTGGGAAAAACATTCCAGCAAAAAAAAAGAAAATAAGGGCCATGGTATAAGGTACACATATTTCACATCAAGTATTCTTTGTAATGCATTTCATAAAAACATTTTAAATGCATCAATTTTTTGTATTTTATTCCTATAAGCTAACAGAAAAAATTTGACAGATATGCAAACATAAAAGGTTGTTTTAAAAACTTGCTTGAACAATGATTATAGTAGAATGCGTAGAAAAGTGAAAAAGGTGGACAACAATGGGGAAGTGCCCCATTAAAATGGATTGTATATGATTTCAATAAAAAATCATTATTTAAAAATCATAGTAAAAAAAAGATTCAGTAAAAGTTTTACCATCAATATCAACAACACTGAAATAATTATCAGTTGAATTTTGTTTAGGTTTACAATAACTTGCCACTACAAGCCCCAAGGTGTCACAGAAGTAAGTTCACATTCGAAATAATCTGCCTTAAACAATCAAAAGCTAATAACTTTTTGTAAAGACTGAAGTATATATAAATATTAATAAATTTTAATTCACCTTCCCAAAGTCATAAAGACCACTGCAGTCGAGGAGGCTACTTTTAGTTGTGGTTACAACCCTCTCTCAACTCTATAACTCCAAAACACAAACCTTGACGATCAAAGCAGCTGCGCAAAAACAAGTTAAGTGCGGTAATACCAGGGACGTGGGTGGGATCATTATAAAGGTGTGTCACCAGCAAATTAAGCCGCTTTTGAGGCCAGATTATTATGATGATAATATAACTTCAAAGATGGAACCTTCAGTTTTTTTCCTGGTCACCCTGCGAGCGACTGAATATGTTAGCATACTTGCATTTTGAAATATTTTAAGTCACATTCATGTCTAATTAAAGTTGGTTTTTTTTTATTATGAATAGTAAATTTATAAAATGTACTGTATTGTATAACTTTGCACATTATTAAACATACTTTAAACATAGCGTACACAGTAGTACACACACAGTAGTGTACTTTAACTGATTTTTTTAAGGTTTCTTTTAAATAATAACAAGCAATAAAATCTTCAAAATTTTTATTAATAAACACTTTAGTAAGCAACAAACTGTTCGGTTATGCGGCCCAGCTACAGCTAGACTTTTTTTCAAAACATAAGTCGCCCTTTGAAAAAACAAGTTGTCATATGCCACTAGACAACCATGAGGTTCTAGCTCTTAAATATTTTTCCCAGATAAACCATATGATGTAAGCTTATGTAGAAGACCAGTACACCAGGGTTTATCAAAAGTTTTTGATATATCAAGGGCTTCACCACTTCTGTGTAATTCAATAAGTAGAATAAGAAGCTTGTAATGATTATTATAAGGAAAGTTTTTTTAAACTTCATCTTTTATTATTATGCGGTAGTGGTGTAGTGGTAGAGCGCTTCATAAACGAGTGGTTCCGAGTTTGATCCCCACCACGTCCCTGGTAGTACCACGCTCAACTCGTTTCTCTGCGCAGCAGCCTTGTTCGTCAAGGTTTGTGTTTCGGAGTTATAGAGTTGAGAGAGGGTTATAGCCACAAAATAAGTAGCCTCCTCGTCTGTAGTGGCCTTCTCGGCCTTGAGGAGGTGAAGTAAAATAAAAATAATAAAAAATCTAGTTTGAATGTTTAAAGAAAAAGAATTAAGAAAATTGATTTTTGTTATAGAAACCAAAACTGATATTTATTCAATTCTTCACAATCAAGACAGTAAAATTCATTTTTGTAAAAAAGAGTGTGGTCATTGATTCAAAAAATAACTTAGAGGAATAGTTTTTTGTAAATATCTCTTAAGAGAGTTGTTCTTGTGAAAAAGGATGAAAATTAAAGAAAAAAAAAGATTACTATTAGAAAAAGCAGGTGGACAAGAAAGAGAAAAGTGTGTGGTAAAGTGAGGTAAAGTGTGTGGTAAAGTGAAGCTTGACTTTAAACTAACGAAAAGAAATAAAAGTTTCATTGCCTGCCTGAATCTAAAAGAATATAAATGAGTTACAATTTAGGCTGAGAGACAAAAGACATTAGGCCAAGCACCAACACAAAGAAAATCATAAAAAGAATCCTTATGATAGATAGAGATGAGAGATGGAGAAAGGACATATAGGTGTAAGTATATACTATATCCAGGCCAAACATATGATTAGATTTTAAGCAAATTAATAGTAAAAGCCAATCTATTTTTAGTTATTCAAAAGACAAACTTTGAAAATCTGCAATACGATGATGACCTTAACACACAAAATTGTTATTTTTGGGTAGCATAATTACTGTAAAATAATCTGCAGATTTACAGCTTCAGAAATAAAACTTTCGTGCTGTGTATTGCCAATGCTCCATTATACAATGGTTGAAGCTCATTATACTGATGAATACAATTCTTAGCTACCTCTTCTTAATGATACATGTCTGGATGTTACCATAGTAACTGTTACTATAAAATATCCAGTCGCATCTCATCGCATGAGTAAAAATAAGTGGCTGATGTAGAGAGGACAGGAATAATAAAGACATAAAATAATAGCTTTTTTTTTTAGTGCCTATCATTGCTTGAGATGTTCAGACAAAGAAGATTCTTGTAGAAATCCATGACTATTGCTAAATAAGTTGCATCATCTTTCACATGGCTTTTTCTGCTCTTTTACTAACATAGTTGCATCAGCTTTGCGATTGTTGATTTCTTGCTGGACTTCTAGTTCCTTCTGTTCCTTAATTTTACTTGCTGACAATTCTTAGTTAGTTGATTTGACAATTCTTATTTCCCTGATGCCGGTTACTTACATTGATGATTATGATAGTTATTTAAATTATGATAATTGCCACAATATGACTACTATTATGATATTTTTTACCTTTAAATTATGACTACAAAAAAATGAGTCTTCTCATTTTTACTGCACATCACTTCAATCCTCTACCTCTTCTCTTCTTTGGCAGGTCGAAAGATGTTCATCATCAAATGAGATTAGATTATCCATTATTGTAGGATATTGCTAAACTACTGTTTATATGAAAATATAAACAGCTTAGTAATATTTTTATATGACATATTGTGTCATTTAAACAAAATAAGAATATTATTAGTTACTGCAATATATTGTAACTAAAGTGATTAAAGTGGATTCTAAACTCGAACTTAAAGTGGATTCAAAACTAAACTCAAGTGATTTGCTAGTAAGAATAGAATCAAAATAAACCTCTGAATAAAATAAACTACATTTTATTATTGGTTGAAAAATGTAATTCAAGCAGCGTGAAAGCAGAGTTTATTTACTTGTTTTGGTATGAAGTTGACATTCAGTTGCTAATTATACAGCAATTTTGACAAAATACTGCTTGTATGCAGTTGATTAAAAGTATGGGCAACATTCTATGCAAATAGAATCAAACAACTTTACATACATATATATATACACACACACATATATATATATATATATATATATACATATATATATATATATATATATATATACATATATATATATATATATATATATATATATATATATATATATATATATATATATATATATATATATATATATATATATATATATATATATATATAAATATACCAAAAATAATAATTCCTTGTAATAAGTGTACTTCATTCTTTCCTCAAGCATTCACTGCTTGTTTTTAATCATTTGGTAATTTTATATGCCAAAGTAAGGTAAATTAATACATTAGCAGTAATATGCTATTATTACATATTATACTAATATAAAATATATTAATATATTATTACTAATATTTATGAGTTATTAAAATATATTTATTATTTGAGAACATATGGTGCAAGCATTTAAAAAATATTTTTTTATAAGTATTACAATGAAGTACTTTAAATTACTTTTTCCAGTAAGTCACAATCTCCTTCTAATTGCATTTCACTACTTCCTGTTGTTGTAGATTGAGATTCAATACTAAAATCATCTTCCACTCCATTCTGTATAAAATATATTGTTTGAAAATATTTTTGAAAAGATAAAGGTAAAAACTAAAAAATTTCAAAATAACTAAATAAAAACAGATAAAATTAAAACAGAAATGTTTACATATATAAACAGAATTTTCATTGCGACAAACTGATATAAGTATTTTAGAACTTTAAAAGTTTTTTTTTCTGTTTTCATATAATATTTTTTCATATAATAAGTATAGAGAAAAAAAAAAAGCATATGGTTCCATCAGATTCACTATTTTTAGGTGAAACATTACTTACGGTTCCATCAGATTCACTACTTTCAGGTGAAACATTACTTAGATGCAGATCTAAACCATCCATATCTGAACTGGAAGAGAAATAAATCTTTTTATAAATTACACTCATCAATACTAAAAATATTATAACTTTTGACCATTACCAAAAAAAATTATGAATTCAGCATCATTCAATAACATTATGATCTTGTCATCAAACACAAATATCACCACAAAGATCAATCTTAAAATTATTCACAGATTCTACAGATATCATAAATGTCATTATCTCAGCAACACTATGAACATTAGGCTGGGAACATTAGGTTGGGGTGAAAACAAACAAAAGAGTGAATTTCATCACAATAAACCATACTTATTTGCCAATCCATGTATGAAACCAGAAGCAGTTGTAAAAAATAAAAATGATTTGCAGGAAGTGCCCCATTTTGATCTTTAAACATCAGACAGATCCCTAATATTATAGAAAAAAAATTTATTCAAAAGTATGTCATGTTAAGTTTCAAAAGAACCAAAATTTTTATAAAAATTTCCAAAATTATTATTTTTGAAATTTTCTATAATTAGGAACCTGTCTGATGTTTAAGGGTAAAAATGGGTCAGTTACCTATGTCTCATAATAATATTTTTATTACTTTTTGTTCATTTATAGGTAGACACAACAAAATGTTCATTGATAGACTAAACTTTTATTTTCACCCCAGCCTAATAAACATTATTCATAGCGCATTGGAAAAATTGAACTAACCTAGGATATTGTTGTTCATTAAGTGCATTTAATCTATAATGATCAGCTAACAACTTTTCATGGCATTGAGCTTGAATTTGAAGGTCTTCATCAAGATCTTTTGCAAGTACTTCAATATAAATAATATATGGTGCCTAAAAAGAAAATAATAATTTTACCTATAGCAAAGTAGAAGTTTTAAATGTAATTAAAAGAATAAAGTCGAAAAAGAAGAAAATAGTTGCACAATAGTTTCTTTATTTCAAATAGTTACATTATAGTTTCTTCATTTCAAATTTATTTATTTTAAATTATTAATCAATGTTGTCAAATTTAATTTTATTTATTAATTCATCTTAATTAAATTATTAATCAAAATTGTCATAAGACTAATTAAATAATCACTAGATTATACCTGTTTAGTATATACTATTTAAAAAAAAATGGTAACCTTATCTTTTGAATTTAAAACAACTGCTGCATTGTGGGGAATCCTTACAACATGATGCGGAAAAATACCATCAAACGGCACAAACACTTTGGCTGGCAAATTCAAATTTAAAAGTGATAGTTCAGCACACAATCTTTGAACTGTTTAAAAAATGATAAAATAATGGAAGGGAAAAATAAATGCTTATAAAATAATAAAATTCATTATATAATAATTTTAACCTCTTTGCTGTTTTGTAGGGTATAACCTCAAATGATGACCAATAGATTGCAAAGCACCAATGAATTCTCGTTCAGCTACATATTCAGGTACCTTTAAAAATATACGAAATCAAAAGTAACTAAAACTCGAAAAAATTAACAATGTTTACGTTGTTAATTTTTTTAAGTTTTAGATTTTTTTTTAGTTTTATTGAAACAAAAATGAGAAAGAATATATATATGCAATTAAAATGACAACATTTTTAAAAACACAACTAAGTACCTGCCAGCAACAACACTGACTAAGATCCTGTTGAGGTTTAGGCTCTGGTGAATTATAAGAATTGATTCTCATATAACTAGGTTTTAGTGAAGTCGAAAGAAGATGCTGAGGACATTTACCAAAAGCGAGTCCCAGTTTAAGTGTTTCTTTACCAATACTATCTGTTGAATGACTTACAGCTGGATATTGAAAAAATGTAGATCGGTCTGCTAGAGTGCCAATAACTGCATCTGATTTTGAACGTTTGTGTATTTTAATAGGTGTAGTTGTAATAACTTCAGGTCTAAAAAAGGTTTACTTAATATCTGTAATTTTAATATATATATATATATATATATATATATATATATATATATATATATATATATATATATATATATATATATATATATATATATATATATATATATATATATATATATATATATATGTATTACTGACAAAAAAAAAAAACATAATTTAAAGTAACAAAATCTAGATATGAAACCTAGTTAAAATATGTCTCAAATTAATAACATTGCGTTACAACTCAGTTTACACTTAAAAGTTGCACTTTTATACGTTTAAAAAAAAACCAATTGAGACAAAACTTTGTGAATTAAGTAATCAATTAACTAATTAAGACGAATCTATTTTACAATAAAAGTAAACAATAATAACTAACAGTTTTTAAATAATATTTTAAATTACAAATGTTTTGACAAACAAATTGCTAAATAATGTAACTCACTAATTAGCCACAGTATATTCCATTTCTTGAGTTCCTCTTTGCCTAATAGGAATATTACTAGTTCTGCAGCTTTTAAACAATCATCTTCTGAATTGTGTTTTGATATTAATATTTTCTCTTAAAAAAGATTTCATTTACTTTTTTACAAAAATATTATTTATTAACAATATGGTATTGTAGTTTATCTTCCTCTGGCTAATTGCCATATAAAGGCCATATACAAAGGTGAAGACAAGTTCAGCTCACTATAGAGCATCATAAGCCCCTTCGACAGGCCAAAAGTAAGTCAGTTTAAGAAGAATGAAGAATATTGAAGTGACAGACAGTAGTCAAGTTAGAAAGACAGCATATAGATAGCTGACAAATTTTGCATTGCATATTAGAATATGCAATTATAAATTAGTTGGTTATAACTAATGAATACATTTGATTCTAATTTATAAATCTAATTAGATTTCAGTGTAATTGATGTATTTGATATTTACTAACAATACTATATATGCATTAATGCTCTTATCAAAACTATTGTAATTTAAAAAGTTTTCTTTAAAAACAATTAAGACAATGTTGCAAATCAAAACTTTTTTTTTTGTGACAAAGTAACCAATTGAGACAAAGCTATTTTACAATAAAAACAAAATCAAAGATGATAATTATCAGCATGGCAATAATAAAAAATTTTTTACCACATTATCAAGTTTATTTACTTAATATTTAATTAAAAACTAGAGAATGTAATCTTATTACCAAATGTAATTGATTGAGACATAACATAAATTTAAAATGTTAAAGAGATCTAATGTTCATCTAACTGTAAAATGCACTCACAATAAAATTGCAAACCTATGAATAAAAATCTCTTTTCAATGTATCTTTCAATGCTATTTTCTAGTATTTCTTAACTCCATACACTACCATTCATAATTATTTGAATGGTTATACTTTTCAATATAAGATATCAAAGTTTTAATTACTATTGGGAGAAAAATTGAAGGCAAAATCTGACTGAATTATATGTTATTTTCCTAGTATTAAGCTTACATAAAAATTAATATAAAGTTCCATTAGATAATTTTATAATTTAATTGTCTTTTTAATCCCACCTAGCAACAATAACTGCTAAAGATATTCTTAGCATTCTACATAATGACTCAAGTTTGTTGAAGTCCATTTTATGCCACTCACTAATAAAACTTTTCCACAGTTTTTGCATAACTAGCCATTTGTTTTAGACATTACTATTAATTTATTTCATAAAGGTCCTGTAGAGGTCTGGTGATTGGGGAGGCCATTTTATACAATATTTGATCATTCTCTAACTCGGTCAACTAATTTATACGATGTTTTTAAGATTATGGTTTGAATTTAACCTTTAGGTTTTTTTTCTTCTAAAAAATAAATGGCTTCCCATTAGTCCAACTTTCAAAAGGAACAAAATGACTTTTTAAATATGGCCTAATAAACTACTTTTTTCATCATTCCTTCTATTATAATAATGTCAACTGTGGCATTTCACACTCAATAATACATACTGCTTTACAATATGTTCAACGATTTTTTTCGGACTAACAATCTTCTCCTGAAACCAAAGATTTATAATTTATTTCAACACATTGGTCTACATTTACAGTCATTGATGATCCATTTTTTATGTAGCTTTGTACACTTAAGCAATTTTATTATTTTTACGATTTTTATCAAAACATTTTAATCAAAATACTTTTATGAATAAAAAATTAACTAAAAGTGCAACAAAAAAAAAAAAAAAATTAAAGTATTTTTAAAATAAGTTTATTCAAATAATTATGGACAGTGGTGTAAGTACAATTTAAGTAAATTAAAAATGTTTCAAAAATGCATTGGAAAAAAAAAAGGAGTGATTTTAACAGTATAAAATAAATTTATATTTATTGCTTTCTTTTTTTTTTTAATAAGTTTTCAATAGGATTATTCAAACCATAACCTCTCAGTACTTCATATTATTTATATTATTGACACTTTTACTTCATAATAAAAATGTTTATCTTATTTTAAAGATATTCCACCCATCAAAAACAATACTTCATTATATGTATGTATGTATGTATGTATGTATGTATGTATGTATGTATGTATGTATGTATGTATGTATGTAATTATGTATGTATGTATTTATATATATATATATATATATATATATATATATATATATATATATATATATATATATATATATATATATATATATATATATATATATATATATATATATATATATATATATATATATATATATATATATATATATATATATATATATCAGGGGCTATTCTAGACCATTTTTGACAGTGTCGACCGTATTTGGTATTTTATTAATAATTTACAAAGACTTTAAATGATTTTAAATGTGGTTTCAAATTTAATTTAATTACTATGTGGTACTTTAAAATATGTAACTGATGTACTTGTGTTACACTTTTCCATTACGCAACAAAATCTAATAACAAAGTGTGTATGTGTGTATGTATGTATGTATGTATGTATGTATGTATGTATGTATGTATGTATGTATGTATGTATGTATGCATGTATGTATGTATGCATGTATGTATAAATGTATGTAAAAAACACTGCAAGCATATTTAAAATGTTTTAATTAGTTTGAATACCTTTGAACTTTTGTTTGTTCTTCTGTGATTACTTGATACAGTCGATTACCTCTTTTTTCCTCTTCTTGACTTAATTCTCCACTATCCAGTTCTGACTGCAGTAACCAAGCTGTGCGTAAACTAAACAAAGTGTGATTTTTGGCTCGCAAAGACAAATATGGATGAAGCACTTGACTTATTTCTTCCATATGAAGATACATATGTCTAAAATAAATAAAAATTATTTCTAAAACATTAGTTGATTAAAAGACCATACATTATCTTTTGTATATAAAAGACCAGACATGGTCTTTTATATATATAAAATATATGTAACAAAGCAGACATGGCCTTTTATATAACTGATTTTTTTAATTAAAATAATCTTACATAAGTTCTGCTAAGTACACATCAACCTCATGGTCGTCAAAATTCTAAATGAAAATTTTCTCACAAAAGTACTTTTTTAAAGTAATAGTACATATAACAAACAAAAAATTATTTTAAAACTTTATATTATATGAATTTTATTTATATTAAATTTGGGTAAGAAATTCAAACAACTACCCACAATCAAATATATTATGTGATGTTGGTAAATTTTAATAAAGTTTAATAACAATTGTTGGGTAATTTTAAATGCTTTGTTAAGTTTAAAAACTAGATGAATTAAAAGAATATCTTTAGATGAATTAGAAGAATATCTTTAGATGAATTAGAAGAATATCTTTAGATGAATTAAAAGAATATCTTTAGATAAATTAAAAGAATATCTTTAGATGAATTAAAAGAATATCTTTTTGAATTAAGAATATGCTTACATGATTTAGAGGAATATGCTTAGATAAACTAATTGAATGTAATGTGATTTTGTAAAATATATGATTCTACCCAGAATCTTTGAAATGTTCAATAAATAAAAATCTAAAATTAGAAGAATAAGCTTGAATTTTAATATTCAAAACTTATAAATTAAGTGCTGAAAAAAAATCAGCACTTAATTTGTATGAAAATGTAGTTATATCTAACTAATGTAAATTTAAAAATATGTAAATGTTAAAGTTTATTTTAAGGTATCCAGTTTTACTTTCCAAATTTTTTACAAGTTGAGTTTGCGTTAGGAAAAGCGGTAACTTATATAGAATTGTTTTGATTTACATTTTAAAAAATTAAAAAAGTTAAAAAAAAAACTGAGGATTTGAGCTTCCTACATACCAACCTTAACTAGTTTATAAGCAGAATCGGAGTCTTAGAAAATATGTTTTTTATTAAAACAATTGAAAATCCTAATTTTATATTTAAAATATAACACTTTATTAAAATTTTTTATAATAAATAAAAGGAAGTTTTAAAAGTATTTAATATTAAGGTCATAAGATAACATGGGGGTTTACGGCTATTTTATCACTACCCTTTTTTACTACTAACAATGTCAGAATTGAAAAAACTATTAAAAATAGTATTATACTCTGTTTAATATTTTATGAACCAGCTGAGATATTCAAACCTAAAAATGACCAACATCTAGTCAATGTGCACACGGTTAGGTTATTACACCTGTATTTCTATTCTGTTAAACTTTTAATCTGTATAATTTTTATAAAACTTCTAAATCTGTCTAATATCATTATCATAATTAGTATAATTATAGTATATGTTTATTTATAAAAAGTTTGTATTTTTTTAAATCTGTTTTTAGAATTATATAGTTTATATTTTTAAGATGTAAGTAATAAAACATTCTCTACTTTGTAGATAATGTATTGAAATCTTGAATTAACAGGTTGTTTGAATTTAAATAAGCTGACAATGAGCTTATTTTAAATACAAATAAGTGTTGTTATTATTCTCTTATCGATAAGTTATCTCTTATTGTTTTTATATAATTTTATGTTAGATACACAATTTTGTTTTGCGTAAACCTAACTATTGTCTGGTGAACCTTGTTATCTTCTGGTGTTGACATTTAAAGTATTATAGGTTAGTTTTATAATGTTTGTTTTACTTTTGTTTACTTTATTAATCTTTACATTTACTTGTTTTGTTTGTTTGTTTTTTTCAACAAATTTTTCAACAAATCAGTCTAAAATGTTTAAAATTGAATATTTTTAATTTTTTTTTTTTAGTGCCACGACTAATCACAAGTCATAGGTTTTAATTAACTTATAATTGAGCTGTTTTTTGCAAAATAATTTCAAGATATTTTTTTTTACAATTAAAATAAAACTAAATATATAAACTGATATATACTTTCCTCAGAGTTATTAACTTTGAAGAATGAGTTTTGGTAGTTGAAACTAGAAATGAAAGCTCCTTTGAGCAGTCTAGAAGAAAAAGAGCATTATTAAATAAACCAGCCCAAATATGACAACAGTATTCATAACAGGGACGAATAAGAAATTTGTAGAGGTAGAGAATGGAGTCAGGAGAGAGAAAATGGCGAGCACGATAAAGAGAATAATCTATATAATCTCTCTCAACTTTATAACTCTGAAACACAAACCTTGACGAACAAGGCTGCTGCGCGGAGAAACAAGTTAAGCACGTTACAACCAGAGATATGGTGGCAATCGAACATCACAAAATAAAATTAAAATAACATATGACTGTAGTTTAGATATCTAAATTACTAATAAATGAATAAAAAATTCTAAGCAAACTGCTTATAATAGTACCATTTTCTTTTTAAAAATAAAATAAAAAGCATTCCTCTAAAACTGTATTTATTTTTTTGAAAGTTTTCTTTTCATAGTTAAAAAAACTAAAAAATGTATGTTTATTAACTGAGTTTTTCTAATATCTTTTAAAATAATGGTTTGGCTCTAATTTGGGTCCAAGTATTTGTTTACCAGTACTGATTCCATGAAAAGGATCACAAAATTTAAAGTTGTATGGCTTTATATTTTCAAATTTTAACAGTTAGTTAATTCATCAGTATCAGCATCGATATCGGCCTTTTCCCATTCATCGGCATCGGCCAAAAAAGTGCTATCGATATATCATTACTATATATGTACTACTTAAAAAATTATATGTACTACTTAAGCACCTTTGAAATTGTTAGAATTTTATACTAAAATACACTAAATAAGAAATTTTAATTTAATTTAATTTTAGTTTTAATTTAAAATTAACTTTTTTTGCGCCTGAAATATGTTTACAATTATAATATTTTGACTTTTCTAAATATGTATTACTTAAGCACTTCTTTTGAAATATAGTACTATATATGTACTACTTAAGAAATATATGTACTACTTAAGAAATATATGTACTACTTAAGAAATATATGTACTATTTAAGAAATATATGCACTACTTAAGCACTTACCTTTGAAGGTAATTGCTTAAGTAGTGCATAAGTAGATCAGTACTTAAGCACTTACCTTTGAAATTGTTGGAATTCTATACTAAAATACACTAAATTGGAAATACAATATAAAATAAAATATATTAAATACTGTGAACTATTTTTTAAAGAAATTATAGTAGAAATAAACTAGATTATTCTTAATTATTAGATTATCTTAAAAATTAGATTATCTTAGATTTATCTTAAAAAGAAAACCTGTGCATTGCTTACAAAGTAAAAAGTGAATCTTTTATAACACAAAGTTTGATAAATGTTAAACTAAAAACTGGATTCTTTAGGAATGAGTTTTAAAGCATTTTTTTACTAAAAATAGCTTGTTCTAAATTCAAAATGGCTAATGACTTTGATAACACAACTTGTTCATATTTTTTATTGAGGATTTAAAACTTATTTTGAGAATCATTCCACAATCACTAGCTTTGTTGTACATTAACTGATCTATGGGGTCCAATTTGCTGGAAATAAATGTCAAAAACTTTTGCAAAATGTTGACAGTGAAATATCAAACAGAAACAATGCATTCAAAGTTTAAGACTCACTGACAAAGATTCAAGTGAAAGAATTTTCATCTGATGTTATAAATTAAAGAGATTGAAAAAAAAGCTTTACTTTAGAGTCAAAACAAAATTTTAGTGAATATCAAAAGAACTTCGATGAATGATAGATGAAAAAAATTTTAGTGAACACCAGAAGAAAACCTGAAAGTAATAAAATGGTTTACAAAGATTAAACAAAAATATATTTCTCAGTAACAAAAAATAAAAATACATGCAAATAAAAACTTTTTAAGAAGTCTTTAAAAAAATGTTCATATAACATGGCCAATACAAGAAGAATAACCATAATTACATAAAATGCAATACAAACATTCTAGGAAAAACGCTAAAATATATATAATTTTTTGATTATTGAAAAGATACCACAACTTAAAACATTACAATTACTAAATTGTAAAAAGAAAATAATAATAACAAGACTTACAAAAAGTTTATTTCCAAGATATGCTAGCACTCCTTCTTCTTTTGAGTTAAACATGTAAGAAATAGCTATAGACATATTAAAAAGTTTGGATTCAAACAATCTTAGCAACCAAGAACCTTGCTCAGGAGGAAGTGTTGAATCATTTGATTTTGCTAACAACTGACGGTTCTTTTTATCTAAGCTTTTTCTGCTCCTTTGTTTACTCCTTTTTAGTTTTGAATAGCTCATAGAAATTTTTGATGACTTTGTTTTTGTTTCAATCATATGGCCACATTTACATTTAAGGGGTGTACTTTCATTCTTTGCAATTTCCTTCACAATACAATGCTTGCATGATATATTGAGTTTTGCAAGTCTTTCACATGAAACACCATCTTTTTCACTGCATGAATCATTAGGAATTTTGTGGGTCATGATAGATACCTCTGTAAGTAATATATATATATATATATATATATATATATATATATATATATATATATATATATATATATATATATATATATATATATATATATATATATATATACATACATATATATATATATATATATATATATATATATATATATATATATATATATATATATATATATATATATATATAATACATAAAAATACATTACTAAATTATTTTAAAAATTTAACAATTGCCTAACATAATGCCTTAACTTTAAAAAGTCAGCAAGTATAATTACTGACAAACTTCTTTTAATTTGGATATTATTGTAGGGACTGCTATAGAATTAATTATTGAGAGATAATATACCCAAATAATTTATTTCTCATTTACAAAATATAAAACAGGAATGTATTTTTCATTTATTTTAGTGTCTATATGTTGTACATAAAATATTGTATATAGTTTGTATGAGTATATTTACACACAAAAAGGGGCAATTTATTTATAATGTAAGATTTATAAAAGCTAAAAACAGAATTAACTGTTGTGAAAAAAGGACATTTTGGAGGTTTTTTACCAACCCTGACTTTTTTCAGAAAAAGATGAAAAAAAAAATCTTTTTTTTGCGTAACAATAGTACTTCTTATACTAATACCTGTCCAAACCCTCAGTCAATGTATGTACTGAAGCCCCTGCAGCTTCCTATTTTGGTATGACATCACCATGGAGCAATATATAAAGCTATTATATTAAATTTAGGCGTCCCTGAATTTAATATTTACTAAGTAGGGGTAATATGTACATCTTTATGGCTTGTGCTGTAGTGACTGACCAAAACAAAAAAAAAGCCGAAACCAAAATAACCCAAAATTTCGGGTACTCTAGTTCAGTTCCAAAACCAACATATTATATTCAGCAAATATTTTACCGAAACCGATACCGACATTTCAGCTAGTCAAAATGAATTTCATTAGAAAAATTTATAGAAAAATGCAATTTTATATTTGTTGTTTTTTAATACTCGTATTATGTTAGAATTGATTACACATGTATCACAAATCGAGATTTAATACATAAGTTGGCGATATAAGTTAATAGCAAAAGTTAACAAATGGTTGATTTTCTCTGCAAAACAAGATTTTTTCAAGGTATCTTGTGAAAATTCTCAAAATATTTTTTGAAAATTCTCAAAAATAATTTTTTTTTCTAAATTAGATAAAAATTTAAAATCTTACAAATTTTTCGGTTATCGATATGTTTTTTGACTTAAATTTTGCTTTTTACTTAATTTATAAAAAGTACTGAAACCAAAACTTCAGAATTGATTCAAATTAAAATTTTGGCAGAAACCGAAACAGAATTTCGGTCAATCACTATTGTGCAGTTTCACTTCTCAAAATAAAACTTATATATGTAAAAGGGTGCGAAAATGGGTGCAACAGACACCCAATATGTGTGTGTTTGTCTGTATCTGAACATGTATTGATACTCAAAGAACTTAAACAAAGAAGGTAAACAAATTCTATCTGTTGACCAGCTTTTTACCCCTTCTTCATTTATTAGGCTGGATAGATGTATTTAAAATATTATATACTGGAAACAATGTATTTACATTGTTTCCAGTTTAGGATGTTGAATGCTGAATCTTTTTGACTCATTGCATAGGTTTTACTTGTGTCTCTTGTTCTCAAGAATTCTCTGGAGCCTAAAAAAGTGTTAGTTCTCTGATATTTTACAGCTGTAAAATATCAGAGAACTAACAGTGCCATGTTGCGCATGGATGTCCATGTTTGTACTTTTGTTGTGCGATGTTGAAGCCGTATTTGGAGCCCTTTGTTACAGCTTAGGGTTTATTAATAGTGATAAGTTCATTGCTTAGACTATTAAATAGTGTACTGAATACTATCTTTTTAAGTCAAGTTCTTTGACTAATTTGAAAAGTGAGTGAAGTGTCAGGGACTATCAAAAAAAAAAATCCATTGTCATCACCAAGTTCTCTAAATCTATCATTCATTAATAATCATGGTCTTCTAAGTAATTTTTTTTTTCTTTCTCTTTGTTCTATTTCACTCTCTTTTATCTTTTTTTCAGACTGCACTCTTTTCGACGTTATTTCTGACCAAATTGACCAAGCCCTTTCTCTTTATCCTTCAGGCAATATCGTTGTTGTTATTGACTTTCAATGCTCATCACACTGAATAGCTTGCTTCTAAATCTGCAGGTCTCTGTAGACTTGGAACTGCATTACTCTGCAGATGTTAAGGCCCACAACTTTTGATATTCTCAATCTCTAACACAAATACTTTCAACTTTCCAACTCTCCAAATTTATTTTCTCTACTCAACTTCTTGTTTCTGATCCTAGTCAGTGCTTAGTTTCTCCACATTCACCCATAGGCACTTCTGATCATGATTTGATCTCTCTAAAACTATTATCTCATTCTTCTTCATCATCAGATGATGAAGAGTGAGATAATATCCACTACCAACGTATCTCTTACAACTACCTTAAAGCTGACTGAGACTCTTTCCATGATTTTTTTTGTGATGGCTCTTGGGTAGAAATCTTTTGTTTTCCTGCTGACAAATGTACTTTTTATGTAACTTCTTGTTCATCAAATCAAGCCTCACTCTTCTCAATGGTTTTCTTCTCATTGAGCTGCCGCAATTTTCAATCATAACCATTACTTCTATATCTATCAGCAAAACAATTTTCGAGAAAACAGACATCTGTTTACTATTATTAGAAAACATTGTAAGAAAGGGTTTGTCTAATGCTAAAGCCCAATATTCTCAGGTCACTTTTCTAGGCTCCAGAGAATTCTTGAGAACCTTTAAGAGTGTCTATGATCTGTTAAATCTGTTATTCCTCCTCTCTTGCATGGTTCAGAAACAGGTTGATCCATTGCTTGACATTCATATCACTACAGTTTCTGTATCTAAAGTGATTTCCTGCTTAGACTCTTCTATAGCTTGTGGTCTCCGGAAGCTCTCATCTATACTTTCAAAATAATTTAATAAGTGCTTATCAGTCTTGTTTTCCGCGTAACTGATAAGCACTTTCTTACAATGGTTTCTAATAATAGTAAACAGACGTCTGTTTCCTGTTATTCCTGTTTTCAAAAATTCTAAAACTCTTGATAAAGTTTTGCATGCTGGTCTTCTCCATAAGCTACCTTATGTTGTTCTCAATGGGCAGCCTAAAGTTTTTTATTAATCAGAGTTAGACCCAGTCTATCTGCTAAACTTGAGCTTCTTTCCCATTGTCGTAAAGTTCTTTTACTGTATTTGTCTCTTCATGCTCCAAAAATTTTTATTTGTCTAGCTTATTCCTAACTTCAACTTGAAGCACTTCAGCCCTTTGGAACTTTGTCCCATCTTCATGTTTTTTGACTAATACAACCTTCAACTTTTTAACTCTTCTGTCAACCATTTCCTTGATCTATAACTCTAATCTTTTTTTCTAGCAACTCCCAACTTGATAGTGGTTACTTGCAGCCTTGTTCGGAGTAAAAAAGAATTAAAAAAATATAGATAATAATGCTTAAATAGGTTACTTTTAAAGCTTTTGCCTGCAAACAAAGACACAATAAAAATTTATCTAAAAAATTCCAAGTAACGCATAATGCATAATAAAAAATATTAGAATAACATCGGTTAGAAAATCGGTATAGGAGGCCGATGCCGATACTGATTCCGATTGTACAAAAAGTGGCCGATTGCCAATTAATCGATACATCACTAATATAAATATATATATATATATATATGTATATATATATATATATATATATATATATATATATATATATATATATATATATATATATATATATATATATATATATATATATATATATATATATATATATATATATATATATAGTTGCATATATGGTTGCTCTTTATCGTGCTTACCACTTTCTTACTCTGGACTCTATTCTTTATTTCTATAAATCTTAAATCTGTCCTTGTATGGAATACTGTTTCCATATCTGGGACAAATCTTTCAATGATGCCCTTTCTCTTTTAGACAAGGTGCAAAAATGATTTGTAAACATAGATGGACCTACTCTTGCAGCCAAACTTCAATCATTGTCACATCCTCATAATATTGCTTCTCTTTCTCTTTTTTATAAATACTAAAATAAATGCTGCTCTAAAGTGCTGGATCACTTGTACCACCTACTAAAATTTATTCTTGTATGACTTATGATTCAATTAAGTCTTATCCTTTTACTGTGATTGTTACTAAGTGCTTCAAAAACTCTTATTTATCTAGTTTTTTTCTTCAACATTAGATCTTTGGAATTCGCTCCCCTGATCTTGTTTTTCATATAATTTGTAATCTTCCAAATCTATAAACTTTACCTTTTCTCTTTAAGTAACTTCCAACTCTAATAGTGATTGCAGCTTTGTTGGAAGTCAAGATAAGTAAAAAAAAAAAAAAAAAAAACTATAAATATTCACAAATATAAATATTTAAAAAATTATTTTACGTTAAACAAAAATAAACAACTTTTTTAAATATTTGAAAATTATCTTATTTTATAAAAAACAAATAAAAAATATATATTAGTATACTTAATTTTGAAAATTTCATTACAATATATAAAAATTAATGTTATCTTATAAAATCATAAATAAAGTTCATAAAATATATCATATAAAAACACTAGTATATCTTAATAAAAAAAAAAGGATTGATTATTCTTTTACAAAAATATTTTATCACTCTAAAATATTTATTTTTCAATATTATATTAAAATTATTAAAAAAAACAAAAGGAATATAGAAACTAATATCAAATATTTATAGCACTAAAACTTGACATCTCATAAAAGTCACTGTATAATTACCTCTAATAATTTCTTTATCCTGAATAAACTGACCATGCTCTGGTATTGAGATAAGTGTTTGACAAACCATGGCTGAGCATTTGTTGTAACTTTATGATGTTATTTTATAAGATAATATAAACAAGAA